TTTCAAGGGGGGGGGGTTAACATTTATAAATCGGGCCGAAAATTTCACAACGACTCAGCCAGTCGCTAAATAAGCGGGGGGGGGGGGGGGGGGGGGGAGGTTAGGGGGTTAAGGGGGGGGGGGTTTACACACAAAAACATACCAAAGGGGGGTTTAACCCCCAAACACCCCCCCCCCCCCTGTGTACGCGCCTGCAACCAGCATCAGAATAAATAAAAAAAAAACTGATCCAGTCGGGGAGTTGAACATAGAATGAAAATTGTATATCTCCGTGGCTTCCGTGGCGTTGTGGCGGCGCGTGCGCCTGTAATCCAGCTAACAGTGGAAGTTACAAACTGATTCAGCCGACGGACGCAGGTTCGAATCTGATCGAGTCACGTCGTTCGGATGGTGACGTTTAAAGGTCGGTCCCCAGACGTAAATAATCATAACTGATTGAAACACGTCTGTAAAAACCCAATACACATACACACCTACACGCAGGCGCGGATCCAGGATTTCTTAGGGGGGGGGGGGCCCACTTTTTTTTTTGGTCCGAAAAAAATCGTAACGACTCAGCCAGCCGCTAAATAAGCGGGGGGGGGGGGGGGGGGGGGGGGGAAGGGACACTTTTTTTTTTTTGGTCTCGAAATTTGAAAATTTGACATTTTGTTCCGTTGGGGGGGGGGGGGGGTGAGGTCACCTTTTTTAGGTCAGCCATTGGCATATTTTTTAATATTTTTTTAAAATTTAAAATACACACATAAAAAACCGAAGGGGGGAGGGTCAACCCCCTAACCCCCTCCCCCCTTCCGGACGTGCCTACTCGTCTGAAAATAGTTTTTCCCCTCCGCGCGCGAAGCGCGGAAGCTTTTACGTTTCATTAAATCATTAGAAATAGAAGACGATTCGTTGTACAGTTTTTTACTCTTAATCCTCGTCTTAATTCATCCCCATCTCCCGCGCAAAGCTCGGAAGCTTTTACGTTTCATTAAATCATTAGAGAAAGAAGACGATTCGTTGTACCGTTCTAGACTCTTAATCCTCATCTGAATTCAGTTTTCCCCTCCTCCCTCCCGCGCGAAGCGCGGAAGCTTGTACGTTTCATTAAATCATTAGAGAAAGAAGACGATTCGTTGTACCTTTCTCGAAAATAATCCTCGTCTGAATACAGCTTTTACGTTTCATTAAATCATTAGCGAAATAAGACGATTCGTTGTACCGTTATGACTTTTAATCCTTGTCTAAATTCAGTTTCTCCCCTCCCCCGCGAAGCGCGGAAGCTTTTACGTTTCCTTAAATCATTAAAGAAAGAAGACGATTCGTTGTACCGTTCTCAACTCTTAATCCTTGTCTAAGTTCAGTTTTCCCCCCGCTTCGACGTTTCATTAAATTTTTAGAGAATGAAGACAATTCGTTGTTCCGCTCTCGAAATAATTTAGTTTCCCCCACCCGCGCGAAGCGCGGAAGTTTTTACTTTTCATTAAATCATTAGAGAAAGAGGAAGATTCGTCGTACCGTTCTCGACTCTTAATCCTGTCTAAATCAATTCCCCCCCCCTTCCGCGGAAGCTTCGACGTTTCATTAAATTATTATAGAAAGAAGACGATTCGTTGTACCGTTCCCGAAAATTATCCTCGTCTGAATTAAGTTCCCCCTGCCCTCCCCCGCGCGTAGCGCGGAAGCTTTGACGTTTCATTAATTCATTAGAGAAAGAAGACGATTTGTTGTACCGTTCTCGACTCTTAATCCTTGGCTGAATTTCAAATATGTTCTTTTTCTATTCCCTTTTCTTCCTACGTCCTCTTCCTTTACACTCCTCTCTTTTTTGGCCGGCGTTTATTGGGGGACCACCCCACCGCCCCCCTGGCTACGCGCCTGCTCTCAGATGAACAGTATGTTGATACCTTGTCCGCCCCGGAAGCTCAGGGGTTTAAGGTTTTAATTTACGGTCAAATTAGCATTCAGGGGTCCGCCTTAGCGCCCTAGACGGGGTCCAGGGGGCAGAGCCCCGGAAGTTCAGGAGTTTAGGCATTTAATTACGGTCAGATGAGCATTATTTTGATACCTAATTGTTACAATGGCAGGTCACTAATTGGCTTGGGGTTCAGGTGGCGGAGCCCCGGAATCTCAAGGGTTTTAGGCACTCAATTACGGTCAGATGAGTATCGAGGGGCCCGCCTAAGGGCTCTTGGTTGGGTCCAGGGGGCAGAGCCCCCAGAAGCTCAGGGGTTTTAGGCGTTTAATTACGGTAAGATGAGCATTTTTGATACCTTATTATTTGTGACACTAGCAGGACACTATTTGGCGTGGGGTCCAGGGGGCAGAGCCCCCCAGAAATCAGGGGTTTTAGGCATTAAATGACAGTCATATGAGCATCTAAGGGCCCGCCTTAGGGCCCTAGGTGGAATCCAGGGGGCAGAGCCCTTAGGATTTTAGGCATTAATTTTAATCATGGTCAGATGAGCATATTTGATACCCCATTATAATGTGACACTGGCAGTTAACTATTTTTTCTTTCTCGCTCTCTTTCTTTCTATTTCTCTTTAATATACTTTTTCAAAGAAAGTGTGGGGGGGGGGAGGGGCTCGAGGATCCCGATCCCCGCCGTTCCGCGGGCCCTGATAATTATGTAGGCATCTCAAGAAGCATTTTCTTGCCTGGCTGTAAATTTAAGAATTTGTCATTTTCCAACAAACGCATGAAGTGAGGAAAATTATCTCATTTCAGCATTATTTGTTAACCACCGTTATGGAATTATAAATAAACCACGTTTGAATTCTATTTCTCCAACCCCCCCCCCTCCCCTATCAGTATGCCAGTGGCCCGCCCCCCCCCCTCCGATCTACACCTTGTTGGCGGGAAAATTGCAACTGATATCCCTTACCTTTCTTCATTCCCTTTTTTTTTCCTTCCCTTTCTCTCCTCTTTCACTTTCCCTTCCCTTCCTTATCTCTCTTTTAGGTTTGCTGGGGGGGGGGGGGGAGGGGCACGGTCATTTTGGTCCCCAACCCGCTCCTCACATTGTTGGCGGGATTAACCGCAACTGATCTCCGCTTCTTTTCTCCCTTTTTTTTTCTTCCTCTTTTTGTTCCCTTTTAGCTCTCCCCTTTTCCTTTTCTTTCCTTCTCTCTTTTTTTTTAGCGGGGACGGGGGGGGGGGGGGGGAGGGCTAGGGTCTTTTGCCCCCCCCCCCTCGATCCACAACTTGTTGGCGGGAAAATTGCAACTGATATCCCCCTTCTTTTCTTTTCTTCTTCCTATTTTGTCCTTCCCTTTATCTCCTCTTTATCTTTTTTTTCTTCCCTTTCCTTCCTTCTCTTTATTTTTTTATTGGGGGGGGGAGGCAAGTCCTCCCCCCCCCCCGATCTCCTTCTTCCCTCTTTTCTTTTCTTCTTCCTCTTCTTTTTTCCCTTTCTCTCCTCTTTCCCTTCTTTTCCTTCTCTCTCTTTTCTTTTTTTTTCTTTTTTTCTTTTTTTCTTTTTTTTTGGGGGGGGGGGGGGGGGGGGGGGGCGCCAAGGCACGTTCGGCCCCCCTGGATCCGCGAGTAGGCTACACGCTTCGATCTAACCTCGTATATGCATATTGACTGGCTGTATACAAAGACTACTATCCCGCGACTACCCTGGAGACTTGATAACGATGTTAGTTCATCTGCTTTTGTGCAAACAAGGGTGGCGGCATTGCATTACACCATGGACCTATTGCACATTGTACCGGGGACATACATTGTCAAAATGTGAAATAGTACAGAATTGCACACACTAATATCGGACTCAGTCGGGAACTATATAGTGGACGTGCTTCCATACTATATTCTATAGACTAAATGAGATATACGCTCATAGCGGACATTTTAGTCACTCGTTCATGATCCATCCATCTATCTACTCATTCATTCATTCATTCCTTTACTCTGTCCTGCCATCCACACATCCATTCATTCATTCATCTATCATCCAGCCACTCAATCATCCAACAAGTATATGCTTGTTCCCCGGCCCCCCCCCCACTTAGTGTTATTTAGGGTACGCATATGCTCGTACCCTTTTTTTGAAAGCACCCCCTATCTGAGGACTGCCAACATTTCCGAACCCCCTTTCGCGGGCTTTTCGCGTGCTTTTCCTGCCTTGGAGACCCCCTAAATCAGGAAAATGCTCAATGTACCCCCCTAAATTCGGAATAATTTCTCAGGAGTCCAAAGAGATGAGAGAAAAAAAGAAAAACACCCCCTTTTTAAAGAAATCTCCGGGTGAAAAGTCAAATACACCCCTTTTTTTACAATTCTCGGGCCGGACTTTGTCGCACTAAAAGTACCCCTTTACCGGACATTTTGGCAACACGCATGCGGTCATTCCGACCTCTGAGTGGGGGGGGGGGGGGGGGGCGGGGCTTGTTCTAGTATTTTATTGGATGAAATAACTGTGTAATGCGATATATTTCCTATCATGAAATTGTACTATTTTAGTCTTATGGCTATACATTGTGAAATCATGAAAAATAAATTGTGTTGTATTCAAGTTCGTTATCAAATGGAAAAAAATGATTTGTTTTAATTTTGTTTCAGTTTATATAAACTTTACACTAGGACTATGGAAAATGCTTTGCTTCTGTCAAATGTTCGAAAAGGAATTGGAGTTTTGAGAAGTTTCTATGAATTAAAAAAATCATGCATCCACACATATCAGACCTAAAAAAAGAGTCACACAAAAGGAGAAACACACACAAATGGTCAAACCAGCGGAGTCATGGGGCGTACCCCTGGATTGTACCGGGTGGGTTCAGATGAAATCAAATAGCATGACTATGGATGCCTCCAGCCCCCCCCCCCCCCCCCCCCCCCCTTCCGTTTTCTGCTTAGAGCTATATTCCACACACACAAACGTCCAAAGTAACTTCTCGTGTCACTCCATGTACCTTAAAAATATAATAAAATAAATCAATTAGATACAACTAGATTCTTGACTCTCAATCTAGCAAAAGCACCACGGGCAGGTAGATCTAATACCCGCCTCATAAAGGATTCAGACGTTAGCTAGATAGCCGTCTACTATTAAAATTACGAATGAACAAATGCACTACACGCTACATTTTGTAGCAATACCATAACGCTTCTTTGAACCCTAGGCAGTTTGCACCAACTGTATGCAGAAAAGCAACGACTGTTTACTCAATTACTAAATCCATCTTCTTCTGAAGGAGCAATATGGCACCATTTACCGCTTGATTGCCAGGCCTTGGTTTTGGCATTCACGCTCCGACCTCTGATGCTACTAGCTGATGATCGTTCGTGGATCGCATGCAAATAAAAAACGAGCACGAAAGGCTACATGCTGCAAGCTCAAGAGCAAGAGTAACTCGAATAGACTACTTACTATTGGCTTATGATTTCCAACTCCTGACAATGGCAAAATCTGAAGCAAGTGATGGAGAATGGGTCGAGGAGGTTGGTATGCTTGTCAAATTGTAACTCAATTACATGCAGCTGAATACGATACCGGGCCGTGAGATATAGCAGCGACAAAATACCGAACGCAGAGAGCGAGTAGAGCGCGGCAGCAGAATAGGCTTTGCACCGTACAGGCAAACAGAAAAGGGGGAAAAGGGGACAGTGATTTCCAGTAAGTGGGACTGTTGATTGATGATAATATGAATCTGAGTAAGTGCATGCTGGGTCATGCATGGCACCTTGATTGTTGTGAAACTTATGCTGAGTTTCTTAATAGCAATAATGGTGGGTTGTTACATCTAGCTAGGCCTAGGGCACATGTCCGTCTATTTGATTTCCGAATTTCTGGTTAAGGCAGGGCTGTCAACTTTGGGAACTGCTAGTTTGAGGGAGATCATATGCAATTTTTGTTTTGGCTCAACAGGGAAGGGGGGGGGGTGGGTTGAGTAAGAAAACAAAATAGAAGTGCTCACTACCCCTGCCCCCCCCCCCCCCGAGTCCTATCAAACTTAATTAATTTCAATTTATTTTTATTTTTCCAGGAGCATCTTATGTTGGTGGAGTTGACTGGAGTGCTTGATTATCAGTACTTTGCCAAGTCGGACAAAGTTTGCAAGTTATTGGTAAGCACAACAATATCATCATGAATAATGATAGAATATATCTATCATTAGTTTTTGTTTCCCCCCGCCAATTAAGGAGGGATGGGGAGGGGGGCACAAGTGACACCGGTAATTGACACCAAGTTAACTGTACCTTTTATCAAACATTGTACATTTGCACTGAAACTGAAGAAGAAGGCTCCGGATAAGGGGGACGATGAAGGAAGTGGTCCAGGTATCTTCTTTTCTTGTCCTTTTCTCAATTTTTCTCAGTTTCACCCCTTCCTGGGGGATGTGGGGGGAGGGAGGAGGGGCATGTGCCCCCTGTATTGATATGAATAAAAGTTCATATTAATGCAAACTGCTATTGACCCACGTACATCACTTCCCTATATGGTTTTGATAGTAAGGACCTGAGTGTTTGTTAAATGGAATGTATTACTTCATTAGTTAGGCAAGGATATTCTCTTCCTAATCTCATTTGTAATATTTATGTTTTATGCCCTAACGTAAACAAACAAAGAAACGAGTTATTAGACTCTTAACATCAAAAATATTTTGTGCTTACTGTGTCATGAATGATAATGATATTCTTTACCTTTGAGTGGAGCACTCAAAATGAGCTTTTAGAAAAAGATGAGGACAAAATAATACAGAGTCATGAAAATTAAAAAGAGATAGAGCTAGAAGAAGCATACAGGGATATAAGGATATCTTATTTACATTTATCTTGAGAAAATGAACCTTGAAACCATGGGTGTCGATCCCGGGGGGGATGGGGGGGATATATCCCCCCCAATATTTCAGGTGGGGGGGATGGCCTGTACAATCATCCCCCCCAATAATTCACCATACAAAAAATTAAAAAAAATGAAGAGAAAAATTAATGATGAGAGTCCGATGAGAGTAGTTAATGGTTATTACTAGCAAGATGACCATCAATATACACATTTTGCTATCTCATTTTCATAATACATACATATATACGAAGTAAATAAGACAACCGTATATGAGACAAGAATAAATTGAATTCTCGCTCATACGGCTTCATCAGGAATTGATGAATTTTTTCAATTTGTTCAATCAACAGCATCATAGAAATGCAGTGCGCCAAATGCAAAGACGCAGCATCAAAAGCAACGAGCTAAATGTTAAGCGCGAAGCACAAAAGTAGCAATCTGCAATGCACATCAGACAATCCTGGACAGTGTAAATATAGATGAACTCTGTGACGATTTCGTGATGAGATCGGAGACAAGGAGAACGATTTTCGGACATTAGTATGACTTATAAAATAGTTCACTAGTTGTTGTGTTGTTTCCGTTCACCCTTTTTAAAATTCACGTCATTGTATCTTTATTTTTATTTTTTTCACTCATTTTATTACCTGATAGTTCCTAAAACATTTTTCATTTTTGGAGAAAGATTATTATGTCACACCTTATTTGTGACACAACTTATTTTCAGTGCGGAAACTGAATTCAGACAAGGATTAATATAGAGAACAGTACAACGAATCGTCTTCTTTCTCTAATAATTTAGCGAACAGGGCAAAGCTGTTAGGGGGGCAACTGAATTCAGACGTGGATTAAGAGTAATAATCTAATGAAACGTCAAAGTACACGATACAACTAATCGTCTTCTTTTACTAATAATTTAATGAAACGTGAAAGCTTCCGCGCTACGCGCGGAATGGGCGAAATTGAGTACAGACAAGGATTTAGAGTAATAATTTATTGAAACATTAAAGCTTCCGCGCTTCGCGCGGTAGGGGGGAAACTGAATTCATGAAGGACACGATACAACAAATCCTCTTCTTTCAATAATGTAATAAAATGTGAAAGCTTCTGCGCTTCGCGCAGAAATGGGCAAAAATGAATTCAGACAAGGATTAAGAGTCGAGAATGGTACATCAAATCGTCTTCTTTCTTTAATAATCTAATGAAACGACAGAGCTTCCGCGCTACGCGCGGGGGAAGGGGAACTTGATTCAAACAAGGATTAAGAGTCGAGAATGGTACATAGAATCGTCTTCTTTCTTTAATAATCTAATGAAACGTCAGAGCTTCCGCGCTACGCGCGGAGGAAGGGAAACTTGATTCAAACAAGGATTAAGAGTCGAGAATGGTACATCGAATCTTCTTCTTTCTTTAATAATCTAATGAAACGTCGGAGCTACTGCGCTACGCGCGGAGGAAGGGGAATTTGATTCAAACAAGGATTAAGAGTCGAGAACGGTCCAACGAATCGTCTTCTTTCTCTAATAATTTAGTGAAATGTCAAAGCTTCCGCGCTTTGCGCGGGGGGGGGGGGGGGACTCCCCCTCCCTGCACCCAACCCCCTAGGAACCGCGCTTCGCGTGCTCACTACCGCCCCCCCTAAAATTAAATCCTGGCTACGCGCTTGGGAGGGGTGCAACTTGCCACACGCTTCTACCACTTTGGTTGCTTTGATCCATTGCCGAAAACATTTTGGCACCTATCATCCCCCCCAACCACGGATACAAATCGACACCCTTGTAACTCAGATGCATTTTTGTATTTGCTTACCTCATTCTAGGGAATTGGAACAGAGAATCCAGTCTTACAGATAGGAAATTATGTCTTCAAGGGAGAATATAAAAAGACTGTGGGTACAGCTGTCTTCTTTGAACAAGGTAAGCTATAGAGATGAGCCATGACTTTCGAGGGCTTTTTTGGGGCATTTTGGGGGCTATTTCGCCCCAAGCCCCCATGTATTTTTTTCCCTGCACAGGGCTTTGTACTGGTAATTCATAAGGAAAAAAAAGAACAATGATTGACTGTCAAGATCTTTCAAGAATCAGTTAATGATGATGATTTCTGATGGTGTTGACATGTTCTAACTTTCAAATGATGAATTAAAAATTTCCGATTGTACATAGATATCATGCTTCAGCATCAGTTGTGTACTTTGTGAAGTCCGTCTCTCGCAATAGTCAAATTCCTAACTTCAGTCCTGGCTCCAATAATGTAATGAATCCTAACCCTAAACCCAACCAAAAACTCAATGGCAAATAGAGCTACAACTGTTTATGTCTTTGATGAAATATAGCATTGAGCAAATTCTGCCAGAGCATATGTGAGATTACAATTTTACTTTCTGCAAATGTTGGCCTACTATAGTTTTAATTGTTATATGAAATTGAAAGTAAAGACTTGTTGGTGTGTCAAAATGACAAATGAAAACATAAATACAGGTACCGGTATTATTATTGTGAAGAAGATTGATGAGCAGTAATGAGGTATGCTGTGTGATTTTGCATATTTTGGTAAATACTTTTGGAAAAGGTCGTCGATTAAGCAGATCTTATAACGTTCCGGTACTAATTTTTTATTTTTAGAGAAAGATGATAGCAAAGACTGGAGTTACAAATGCTGTACAAATAAAATGCTGGAGATGAGAAGAGTCTTTCTGCAACCTAAAGAAAATGTGACGGGTAAGGCATTTGATTTTAGGATGTATTTCACTCTCTGTAATTTTTACCTCTCAAAGTATAATACCTGAAATTTGTACCAAGTTACAATTACAGGGTATGGATATATCATGGGTAGCATCATCAGTATTAATACTGTTCTCCTGGGGGCTTGCTATCATATTATTATCTTGGCTTTAGCCTAGCTTACATGAAGAGTCCCTCAACAGTTTCTTCCTACCAGGTACCCGTCTCTTTCGCCTAAACAGTGGATATGTTGTGGTATAGTGGTTTATTCACCCAAGTCTCATTCCAAGGGTTGAGGGTTCAAATCCCAGCCCAGCTCTAATGTCCTTTGTGTTGATAACTGCGTATAACAAATAGATTGAAGTTAAGCAAACCCTCTGTAAATGTTATCATTGTTTGCATACCATATGAAATCAAAAGCAACTTACTGAATAAGCATGTCAACTTGTATCCATTTATGGAATACATAGATATGAATTAATATGAATAGAAAATAAAACATTTCACAAATCATTGTAAAATCGGAAACTAGGTAATTAACAAGTGTTAGGAAATTTAGCAAATAAAAAAAAACTTTGTTGTTGTGTTTCAATTATTTGATGGCATGACACTTCAACAAATTTAGACCACTCACACAATTCTGAAAGTTCTTGGTTGTACAGTACCTATTGTGTTCCATGTTTTTCTTACAGCACATGTCTGTGGATCTGTATAACATGAAATGTATGGGTAATATTGAAAGGGGCAATTTTAAATCTGTAACTGTTTGTTCACTTTATCACCTTATCTTTTACATATCCAGATGAACAGGAGACTGGTAGCCAAACCACATCAATGGATGTAACAGAAGCAGAGGATGGTACCTGATAGGAAGCAATATATCTCTGAAATACAACAACAGGATTACTTAATTCCACGTAGATCGGTGTTCAGATCACACCGTCTCTTGCAGCGTTACGGACCATCGTAATAGAGCGTTATGGATTGGGGTTATGAAGTGGCTACCCGTCGGCTCCAGATTCACTACAAAATAGTTCCTCTCACCTTCAAATGCATCCATGGTCTGGCTCATCCCTACCCATCTGAACTCATAATCTATTAGGCAACCATCACCTTACTCCCTCCCCTCCTGTCAGTGCATCACACTGAACCATACGTCTCCTAAGACGCTTCCCACACTTGTGGACAGAGCTTTTGCTGCTGCTGCTGCTCCCAAACAGTGGAATAGCATTCCAAGATTTTTTTTCGCAACTAGCAATCTCTCAAAACCTTCAAAAAATATCACAAAACTCATCTCTTCTGTTAATAACATAAGTGTAAAGCCCATTTGAATTAGTACATTTGTATATGGAAAACATGAACAATACAAATATTATCATTAAAAAAATAGAATAAACTTGATAAAGATAAGAACACTAATTTTAAGAGAAGGATGAGATTGAATAACAAGGTGAAATGAAACAACAGCAAAGCAAAGGCATCAGCTAAATCAATTGGGCCCTGTTTCATAAAACTTGTTCAATAACAAATGCTAAATTTCTATGCTCTCAGCCAATCAAATGCCACAACTTTAGTAGCTTCTAACAGTTATTGTACCTTGTTAGTGGTAACAAGTTTTATGAAACAGGGCCTCGGTGTGGTTTATTTGCAATGACATGATGATAATGCTGATGAATATTCCTTTATTTCTGGCAACTTCCTGGAATAATGTTTATTGCAATACCAGTCACAGCAATGCTCAGCAAATAATATGGAGAAAAAGTTGATTAGTGTCCAGTGCTCCAGAAGCAGTCATTTAAGATTTCTAAAAGAGCCTGAAAATGCCTAAAGGACAAATTTTGTTGGTGGTACATGTAGTTAGAAATGTGAAAAGAGCCTATAAAGAAATAATGTATTTTGATGATTGTAACTGAGCAATGATAAAACTTGTTAGTGTAATTCATGAAGAGATGCTCAGTCTGAAATGTGAGATAAAAAAAGTTAAGTGAGTCAAGTTTTTCTAGTAAGCTTCTAATGCATGTGGATTTGCCCATAAGCAATTCCAAGTGTACTGTTATGGACAGCAGAATCCTTTTTTTGTTTTGATAATTTTTAACTTGCACCAGGCATATAGAAAATGTTTTGTTTTTTTGGATGAAATTCTTGCAAATGCCCACATGTATACGGGAAAAGATTTGGAAGTCGGTCAGTTTGACATTCATTAATACATTGCTTTTTGAAGAACATGGAAAATAAATTTGACACCTCAACATTATCTGTTATTTTTATTATTGTTATAAATGTTATGCATGTGATTGTGCTGCTTGATGTAAATGCTGCGCTGAAAGAAAAAAGAGCGAACTCTTTGAATATTTTATTGATTTGCACTGAAGGTGTGAAATTCAACAGACGAGGAAAGAGGTATTTGGTCATTTACTTTCCAATATGTTACAAAGAATAAAAAACAAAAAGCAAAACAGACTTAAAGGTAATACAAAGTTTATGCAATATTTCAACAGAATTGGATTATGAAATTTAAAAATTGCATTACCATTGTGAAACCTAGTGTAAAAATATTCAATAAGGAACTTTGAAAAAATTGGGCTCTAAAACGCTAAGGATTTTGAGAAATTAAAATATCAAATTTATTGGTGCTCCCGATAAATTTCAAATTGCGCCTACGGCCATACAATGGTAGCTGCGACCATCAAAATCTCGAAATATGCAGTTCTGTTATATAATTTCAAAATGGGTTTAGAAAATCGGTTGATTTTGTTGTTTTTAATCTAAAGTAATATCAATCTTGAGAGGGAGTTATACAACATAAAGAGTTTATTACCGTATTCACAATGTCATCACTTCAGACTCTACTTCAACCACGAAACGATCATTGAATATTGTAGGATCGCATATGCTTCCAAAGTTCCAATATGTTCATATGAACCAAATTCATGACCCATACCCAAACTTTGTATTTCCTTTAACATATGTATCATGTCTTTCTGAAATCGTTTGTAATAAAAATTGCACATTCTAGAAATATAAATTGCTCCATGATATTATGTGTTATGTTTTTATTATTTTTGGTAATGAATGGGACAGAAAATGAGCAATTGGATTTACCATATTGAACATATGTATATGACATGGTTTCCTTGTTCCCAAGTTATTATGGGAATTACCCATTGCAAATTTTGTATGGGATCACATTTTTTTTATTATTATTTTATTAAAAGAAATAGCAATGAACATAGATCTGCTGAAGCTTTTTCATCCTGCACTCCGCGGTACAATTCAAGAAAGAACAAAAAGCTTAAAGCACAGAAAATCTTGTTGATTTGTTTCTAATTTGCACTTTTACTCTTTATGAGCAAAAGATGAAAAACTTTAGTATATATGTACCTTGGTTCAAAGCTATTCTTGGATTTCAAAGTACAACTGTATAAATCATGTCTTCCTACTAGAATTGCAAGTTGATGACATTTATTAAAAGGAAAAGTGTCTGAAAATAAAATTTCCCCAATGTTGAGATTATGGATTTGTGCATGAAATTGGTTAACGTGGTGTTCAAGAGAAGACGAGTCCTTTCTGTCTATAAGATTGCAAAATATAGAACAACACAGTCACTTACTTACAGTAAAATAAGTCCAACCATATATCTTCCGTTTTGATCCGAACAGGGCGTTAACTCATATACTTTCACACAGAGTTAACACCCATCTTGCTCTGAACAGACGATATGGTTATCATTGCAGTTTGTTAAATTTGTTTAAATAAACAATTACGATGAATAAGATCCACAAAACATTCCATTGAGATTTATTTCTTCACATTTATTTACATGACACTTTATGTACACATTCATCAACATGACCAGTCTCGAATTATTCATGATACTTGTTACCAGAGAATGATGATACAATTGAATCAATGTACACGTAATACCCTTGCACAAAAAAACTTGAAAATAAGATGATTTAATCCAAATTGAACTATTCCATAGAGATATATTTTTTCAGTATCAAGCACCTCTGTAACATGGAACTACATGTACCTTACTGCAGTACGTGTAGTTTTTGTTAAAGAGTAAACCATGATAAATCTGCTTTAATTTCTTTAATTCCTAGAATACATGTACATCTTTAAAGTAGCAAATAATCACAAAATACACTGTAGAAATGATCATCATGATCAAGAAAATACAAATTGAAAGTTCTTTGAGCCTTCATTTCTGTTCTAGTGTGTAATAACCTCACATTTTCATGAATACAAGTACCTACACACCAGTTTTAGGATCTATATTTTGCAAACAGTTCTTCTTTGTATATAAGTAAATATCAAAATAGCAATGATTGTGAATTGTTTCTCTTATACTTATTTAATAAATCATCAATATTATGTTACCATGAAAATAAACTTCAGAACTAATTTTAAACATCAATAGACTGAAATGGCTTTCTGTTTCACTATATTATGACTAGTTTTTATGGCCTAAAAACTCTTTTATTGTTAAGACAATTTTTTGGTTTCAAACTCTGCTAAGCAAATGCAAAACAGCTGTAAGATGGTCCAATCAACCATCCCATTACAATGGAATCTCGTTAAAATGGTGTTATACATGTATATCATCCATAAAGATCACATATTTTTTACTAGGAAATAATAATAATGATAATAATAATAATTAACTATTTTTGTATAGCCCATAGGAACACAAAGAAAGTCCCTATGCGCTTAGAAAAGAAGGAAATAGAAATGAACATTTATGCCTGATACATGAAAATAATTAATCAAATAATTAAATAAAACATGATCTGAGAGCAGTCCCAAAAGGGGGATGTGTTAATAGGTAGCATAGATTTGATGGTCAGTCCTAGTCGTGGAAGATGCTTTGGGATTCTTGACCGTCACTGGTCCGGCCAGCTGCTTCTTCACCATTTAAACAGGCTCATGCTGTGAGTTCAAACTTCCCAAACTTTTGCGGATCGTAGAAGGATCCCTTCACAATCCTACCGCCAAAGAAACGGCCGTTCAAATCCACCACAGCTAAAATGAAAAAGTGTCGAATATAGACAAAAGAAATTTGATTATTTAAGGCCTTCATAACTTTGGGTAGCCCACAAAATCAATGGCATTGAAGAATGTCACCTTTTAACTGAAATTTTGAATTCTGGGTATACCAGAATTCAAAATTTCAGTTAAAAGGTGTTTTTTTTTAAGTGGTTACTCAACAAATAGAATACAAAATATATAAAGGATATATCAACTGAAACAAGTATTTAAGTTTTCCTTGGAACTATGAAATCTCATTCATAGAATTTCCAATAAAAGGCCATTAAAATGTTTTTCATATCTAAATAAAGAACAGAATCGAACTCTATTTATTTGTTACTAAAGCATATACTGTGGCTATTCATGACAAAGTGCACTCTTGGAAGCATTTTCAGCAAAACCTCGGGGTTTCAGGACATAGATCTTCATATGCAGGGGGAAACCCCATATAACAAAGACGAAATGGAAAGATCTCCATATCTTATCAAGATATTCACAACAGGGCGATTGTTAAGAAAATCTTATCAATACATATCAATATATTACTGTCAATAATGAGTACCATGAACACTCATTAGAAGAAAATTGGTTATCAACGAAATTGATGTAGTGTTACCTTTTACTGCTGCTTCCACCCGTGTGAATTCTACAAATATCCTTACAGCTTCAGTGGCAACTTTGAGGGGATCCTGGAGAAAAACAAAGTTTCAAGTTTCAAGTTTATTTTATTTCACTTTATCAAAAATAACATAGTTGAACATAATGAACAAAGGTAATTATTATAACTAAACATACAATATAGAAAACATAATGTACATGATAATAGTTATAACAGAGGATACAATCATATAAATCAATCAATAAAGGGGGGGGGGGATCTACTAAAAAGTAAAGCTTGTATTATGTAGGTCCCGGTTCATGGGTTTGTGTATAAAGAAGGGTATTTGAAATAACATATTTACAAAAGCATATTATTACACAGTGTGAACAAGCACTAATTCTACAGTGACATACAATATTTGAAGAACATACAAAATCTTAATTGACTGGTATCACAAACTATTTATCAATTCATTTTTTCCGTCGCTCTCTATACCCAAGTCATGACAAGCTTGGATTTGGAAGGAAAACATAAAAAAGTGTAGCTAATTGCTGCTTTCAAAAGCCCTGGCGAACAATTTCAAATGTGAGGATGTTTTATGTTTCAAAGTATTGCTGAATGTTCGGGTGAGATTTATTTCAGTCTGTGGTTTAATTAACCCATCATCCCCGCATAATTTCTTTCAAAATGGGATCATACTAATTTCACCAACTTCATGCATGATGGAGATATTCCCCAAGATTCTCTGGGTAGGTATCCAACACAAATGACTCTGGGGCCTGTTTCATAAATTTTTTAATCTATAACAAATGCTAAATATCGATGACAAATTTGCTCTCAGCCAATCACATGCCATGATTTCAGTAGCTTATAACAGTAGCTTGTAAGTTGTTATTGATAACAAGTTTTATGAAACAGGGCCCTGATCCTTCATCACACTTACTTCATAGATGAGGACCTTGACAACCTCTCCATACTTGGAACATTCCTCGGCTGTCTCTGGCTGTAGATCATCATCTACCTCACCGGGACCTACCATATTCTGTAGAAAGAAAACAGGAATGGTACAAAAGGCTATGGTAAAATCGAATGAGGAAGAGATCAAATACTACATGTACTATTTTCTGACTAGTACCCCAAAAAACCTACGGTTGTAATTAAATGAACCAGTGATAAAAAACTATAAAAATTAATATTTGAAAATGTTAAGTTCTACCTCCACCATGATGCAATTATGCAAAGTTGATAACAAATCGGCATCTTGATTTATGCTTGCATAACGGATACTTAAAAATAAAAACATTGAATGAGATCACCACCTCACCGAGTCTAACAACATTCAGCAGAAATGACGAAAGGAATTTATACAAGGCCATCGGTACAACCCTAATTGTTAGGTTGAGCGAGGTATCCATTGACTATATGTTTTTTAATAATTTGAAGTGCTGTACAGACCAATATTCAATATCGGGAACATACTTAATTTGATAATGTAAAGTCTACCTGATCCATACTGCAAAGAGCGTGGAGGTGACTATGAAATAGTACCATTATAACAGGATGACCCAATTTACAAAATCTCTGGGAGTGTAAATTTGCAAATGAGTATGACATGCCCTGAAGATAGGGTCAGATAAAAAAGAGAGTGTCTATTGGCAAGTGGAGTTGTGGAAGAATACTCTCTGGCAGTCTCTGCCCCTATTTCATGAACCTACTGTAAGAAGAAGGATCTTGGTAGGATTCCTGAGAACATCTGTGATGGGTGCTGGTCCTGTCTTTGGGGCTGCTGGTGGAAATGCTGGAGGTGGAAATGCTGGAGGAGGCATTGGTGGAGGTGGCATCACAACTTGCTCTACAACAGGAGAAACATGATAGATACATTTATAATGTGACTTCTGAAAGAGTTAGGGGTCAATCATGCTATACATTTTTAATACTGGTTACATTGACATATTCTTATAATATAAATGTTATTATGTTGGTAGTACCGGTAGAGCTTTAGAATAAGTATAAGGTATCAATATTACATTTTAATAGTTCACCTGTATTTCAATTTCATATATTTCAATTTTCTTCTATTTCTGTCTAATCAGATCATGATTTATTTTCCTTCCATTTTTGTATTCCCCTGTCTAGTGTACAGCTGACATAAATGGAATGCAATAACATACCACGTACATTATAAAGATTACTTTTATATCAATTGCTATTCAAAAGATCAAATCTAACGATCATACCTTGTATTTCTTTGTCTTTATTGATGATCTTTCCTCCTCTCCTACTTGTCTTCTCCACCTGTAATGCTGTACTGATTCCCTGTTCTGACTTGCCTAACCCTGCTCCTTCCTTGAAGCCATACTTAGCCATGATTTTCATTGCCACTGAGTCAACACTGTATACAATAAAGGGGGAAAAATATTTATTGAAATTGCTAAAAAGAAAAGGTTGTATTTTTAAAGCATGAATACATAAACAATTTCATCTTTATTTAGGGGAACTGCAGGGAAAATGCCATTATCTCTCATCGAATTACCAACCCATCTCACAATCTAAATATATCTTTATTAAAATCATATCCAAGTTGAATGAATTGATTTGATACAGCAAGTCGTTTTATGGTTCTAAAATGTTGATAGATGACTATATTTTTCTTTTTTTGATCCAATGAGATTATGTATTATGTGAGAAACAGGCAGAAAGCATGTAATTGAAAGTTACCCCAAGTTATCAATTTTTTATTACAAAAATGCCACGAGAAGATAAGGAAGGATGCATGACATCTTTTTTTATTCATGCAATGATACTTCCGATAAAAATAAGTTTTAATCCCTACACAATTTTGTTATGAATTAGGCATAAATCCTGACAGATTTAGGCTTCTAGTCCCTGCAGATTGCACCCCCCCCCCAAAAAAAAAAAAAAAAAAAATATTTTTAAAAAATGACCACTTACCCCAGCCCTACTGGGACCTGAAAGTTTGCTTTCGGTGTCGGAGGCTTGACAAATGTATTCTGCTCTTGAGGCGGGGCAAATTCACTGATCCTAGGGGGTGTCTTAGCACCCTCAAGATCATCATGGTCGTGGTTCTTTCTCTTCATGTCTGCATAAGGCCTATCTCTTGCAGGGGGTAGAGGAGCTGCAACTGTATGAAAATTAGTGTGAAATTATAACAATCGATGTAACATGTCATATATAATTAACACTGCTAATGTTTATGGTAAAATTCCATGAGTCATGATTATTATTTTTTGAAATCAGCATACCTTTTTTCCTCACTAATGTTGACTTTTCTTTATAACTGATTTTTATATCGTAAGAAAACTCAAGAAAAAGTCAAAATGTTGAAGAGCTCCATTATATTTCATGCTATATATCCAGGATAGATAATATGTATCAATATCCGAATTATTTAACACAAATGATGAGAGGGCCAGAGGATGATCTACCCCAAATTTTTGTTAATTTCACAAGAACCAACCCGCATTTATTTTGCACCATCAAAGGGATCCGGTAACTTTGTCTTAGATCCTTTAGAAATAATCCTTGATTTAGCTCATGCTGCAATGATAATTATAAACCTTTAGGTCAGTCAGGAACTCCATGACTTTTACAAGCCAATCGCCTGTCTGATTATCAAGATATCTATGATTGGAATTAGAAATTTCAGAATTCGTTTTTCTAACGGTTTTTATAACACTACAGCCTATTGGGGAAAACGAGTACGGTAAAACCCGTCACTCAAAGATTTTTACTTTTTCGAGGCACTTCATGATCATTTTGAAGCGCAATTTTTGTAGAGCTTCAATATTACACCATATCACAGACACTGATAACATGTAGGGCCATGCATCTCAGATTTAACATCGTTAAACGATGACTTTAAGGTCCAAGTCTTTGTAAATTCATTTCTAGTATTAATCTAAGGATACTTACATCCATCATCTTTAGACTGGGAATCTTCATTGATCAGTGAGGAAGGAGGGGCAATAGCAGCTCGCTGTGCAGCTGTGGAAAGACAGATATACACAAGAGAAAAGAAATACATGTTATCTTCTTACTGAGAATATCAATGGATTTGTAGGAGCAAAGGTAATCAAGACATATGCTGCATCTGATCTTGATCCACAAATACATGTTTTAAAATGAAAAAGAATTAAAAATAAATTATCTTTAAAATTTGAGTATAATGCTTTACTTAATGACTAACATTCAATTCCATGACTAACCTAAGATTTATAGTACTACTTTTTAATAACATGTATAAAGCTAACTTGTGTAATCTCAAATGGTTGATTTAAGTATCAGGTGAGAAATGAAAACCCAAAATATATGTTAATTACATCAGAATTGTTAAAATAGGGCCTCTAATCATCCACAGGTCAAACAGCATTTTATGGTGATGCCTTACCCACAGACTGCAATGCCCCTCTCATTCTTTTGAAATGTCTAAAATTTGCAATGTTTTGTTTGTTATATATTTGTAAAAATGCAAAAGAAAAAGAAAATCAAACAGAAATAAATGAATCAAATAAAGACCACTTCAGCCTTGCCCTTTTGTTGTATTGTTTCTTCTTCTTTATCCCTCTCATTGGACAAATGTAATCTGTCCCTTCTTCAGGTTCTCTTCTACCACAATGTTAATATGGACCAAGGAAAAACCAGTGCATTTATACATACTGTTTCTTCTCCTCTCTCTGTCTCTGTCATCCTCATCATCCTCCATGACTGGACGTCTGGAAAATCCTTGTGGTTCTCTTTCTCGATCTCTTTCTCGATCGCGGTCACGATCACGGCGTTCCCTATCGCGGTCACGGTCCTTTTCTCGGTCTCGTTCACGATCTTTTTCACGACGTCTCCTCCTGGAGAGTTTTTAATTTTTTCAAATATTGTTGTTATGATAACACTTTTATAGTGACAACATAATATAAATTAATTTGAATATTTAGCAATTATGAAAGACTGAAAAACTGATGGAAACTAGTTTATTATCGAAGATAAAATATGGGGAAGAATTCTACATTGTAAGTTAGATATATATTAAAAAGTAAAACAATATTCTTCCTATATTACATGTTGTTCTAGACATGAAGTAAAAAACCAATAGTCAATGAAAAATAATCATGAGAAATTAATCAATGGCAAATCAAGAAATTCATGCAATAATATATCAGGTGATTCAGGTCATGCAACATGGGAAAATATGCATTTTCAAGTTTAAGTTATTCAATTTATAATCTACATTTAAAATTTGTAAACTTCATTATGATTCACAAGCTTAAAATCTGAACTAATTCCCCAAATGCATAGTGTTATCAAACCCCATTGCCGAAGACATTAAATAAAATTGTGGATTAACTGTAAATAACACATCATCGCGTTCCTAGTGATCACACCTTGGACTTACCTTTCTTCTCGTTCTCTTTTATCTTGCTCATCCCTCTCCCTTTCCCTCTTCTCTCGTAATTTCTTTGCAACCTTCTCATATTCATTTGGATAAGCTGGATCATACTCATTTTCACCATCTGAACCAAGGCTACTTGATGGCAAATAAGGAGCCTAAATACACACACACAGAAGAAAAAAGGGGGGGGGGAATAAAAAATTACATAAGTTGTCAAACCGGATTTCTTTTTGCAGGTCTACATCTTGTGATATTGTTGAACTGAATAATATATAAAGTTTATTTACAATGTCAGAACAGATGTGAAATATAGATCATTACATCATTTACTACAACTACTATGATGTTTTAATTGTTTGAATGGTGTTGGGAGTCTGGGACATGCAGAAGCTAATCACTGGGATTAAACCTGTTTGCTTGGCATCCAGATCAAATATTATACAAATAATGAATGGTTATGAGTTCAATAGTGCGAATATTGTCACGAGTTGAAAGATTAACATTCTATTCAACGAGGCGTCAGCCGACTTGAATAGAATTAACGTTAATCTTTAAACGAATGAAAATATTTGCACCATTGAACGAATGAAAAACATTCATTATTTGTTTTATACAAATTCGAAGAAGATCTAATAGAATGTTAATCAACAAATTATGCTTTACTCCTTGCATTAAAGATAAATTAAAGTTGGAGTCAAGCCTTCTCGATTACATTCAGATTGCCTTCCCGTCAGATACACACAGGGATACGTGCGCGCACGGCAGAGAGGTACGCAGTCTGCATATAACCAAAAATGCATGACCGTGCAATATAACATATTGAATATCATGTGACCAACAATCCTCCAATCAAAAGACAAGGATCCACGTAGGTGTTGTATAAATTCTATTATTTCTATCTATAAGAGTTTGTCATGACTCTAATAGATAGTACATACAGAATTCATGTACTTGTTTATGTTTTCTGCGCCAAAATGGACTTGATAACACAGCACTGCTTGAAGATGCTATTGTCAAGGGCTTACCAATCTTGGTGAAGATGAAGATGATGGTCTTGACGGTGGTGGTAGATTTGACGGTCTGAACCTGGGATGATCATCCAATAGTCCAGTACTTCCACCAACATCTCTTCCACCGATATCCCTTCCACCAACATCCCTTCCTCCTGCATCCCTTCCACCGACATCCCTTCCTCCTACATCCCTTCCGCTTACATCCCCACTTGACCTGGAACTACTTGCAGGTGCAGTACTAGAACCAAGACCAGGTGCTGGTACTTTCTTTGGGTCAAGGACTGGACGGCCGGATGGCTGTTTCATCTTGCGCTGGGCTTCAGTTAGAGCAGCTTTCTTCATGCGAAGATGCGACTGCATCATCTTGATACCCGCTGACCATCCAGCTGAGAAGAAAAAAATTGCAGGGTAATACAAGAGTTTAGAAGAAAGTATCATACAAAGTCTCTGAAAATGGCGATTCGATGGCCTGATTAATCTAAATGATCGACCGAAAATATAAAGGATTAAACAAAAACTTACATAACCAGTAGCTTAAGTTTCATTCCAATTATACATAATTTGAAATTTAGGACCTGTAGAGTATTGGACTCTATTTTGGTAGGTATTTGTATAACTACCCTTGCAATGAAAGACTAGGCCTAAAAGATGATCTAAAATTTAATCAAAACAAAATTAAAACAAAATTGTGTGGAAATTTGTGTTTGTATTCAAATAAATGGGGCTTGTTTTGAATGCAACTGGACAAATACTTAGCCTGCATATAAACACCCTGCAAAGTTCAATTTGAAGGTCAAAGAAGGATTTTATAACACATGCTCTAGCAGCTCTAGCAAAAACTATTCTGCTATCATTCGTAACACTATACAAATTTCTAACTTCAACCGTCGCCAAAACATAATACATAAATCCAATGGCAACCCAAGCCCTGATCCCACATCTCTGATGAAGGCCCAGAGCAATTGTCACCGAAGTAAATGTCGGATTACCACGATACATTTTTTGACTTACACACATCGCCCTTTTTGTCACCAGCAGAGCTGTCCTTCTTTGATGGTCCTGTATCCACTCCCAATCCATCATAGAGCGACATTGTATACAAACAGATCTGCAGACTTCCTCATCAATCTTCTGAAAATATATCAAAAACAAGGCAAAAATTTCCTTTACCATACCAGTAGCGTTTCCGCCACCAAGCCTCCGCATCATCATCGCGCGAGCCCCTTTTCTCGTTCATCACCAGTCATCATCTTCATTGGACTTTCAACATCATTTCTACTCAGTCGTATTCAATGAATTAATCATGTCCATGCATTTCATTTATTATTGGTCAATGTATCTCCGAAAATTTCTGACTCTTTCGTTCGTCAGCCTCTACTCTGTCTAGACCTAGACTCTAGATCTAGACTATCTCCCTGCAATGCCAATTCTCATTTCTTCTCATTCATGTCATTTCGAATTCATTTTTATTTGCCTGCATTACCGTAGAGTCTAGATCTATACTCAGTCATAGTGCACTAGACCTAGATCTAGATCTAGATAACTTAATATTAAAATAATGATAAATTAAGGGAATACAATTTAGTCTATCTTGTTTTTTATTGTCTGTGCAACCTTGCTTCCTCGTACGTAGCGAGAATAAAAATAGAGTTATTTTGTGTGATCAGTGTGAACACGCTTTCCAATCTTCATTCACAATACCCATCACATTCTGTACAACAGCTCTAGCCTAGATTAGATCTAGATCTAAGTTAAGTTAGGAGTCTAAGTTAGATCTGGAACTCAAGTGTAAAAAATGGTTCGTAGGTCTAGATCTAATCTAACTCCGGGAAGCTCCAACACCGGCGCGCCGGTGTTGGAGCTTCCCGGAGTTAGATCTAATCGTAACATGTAATATGCGTGAAACCTACACATTTTTACATACCTTGATGTGGCGGAATGTCAATATCTGTAAATATATGTGGTTGCGTACACCTACAAGTGGTTAGAAAAGTTGAATATAGATACGAATGGTAAATAACAGAAGAGAAATCGTGGCTGTCTTGCCTTGGTGGTCGCCGAAAAAGCCTAATGTGTAATCACATGATTTGGTAATTTACTCCAATGAAATGACAGACTTTGTTAATTAAATTACACTTTAGCGTAATTCATAATTAAATTTCGTAATAAATCAATTTTAATTTATTTCTCACATTTGAATAGTTGCACTTTTCATAAGTATTAAAAGTGTACTACAAAATACAAATTGTTCGAGGACATGAAGAGCAGACAACATACGTTTAGCGCGCGTACATTACCCCTAGAACAGGCAGATCAGAGTGAGCCCATGCGCCGAAGCTTCGGCTGGATTATCGTTGTCGAACCGCGTATGTGTCAGTAAACACGTGCCCTTCACTGGTGGTGTCTAGCTACTCCGTCTTCCGGGCTCTCCCCAACTTGTAATTCAGGATAACCAAGAGAAAAGAACTTAAAGAAGTCGACTATCAACCTTCTTGACATTATGGACAGCAGCGCAGACATTTATCTAGATGTCATGTTGTGAGTATCAAGTAATATGAGTACCATGTCTTAGATTTAGAAGTAGATCGAGAGTTGGACATCCACGACATCCACACAAAGCTGCATAGTGCATTATCCTGGCTGCATGTGATATTGATTCTCAACATTTCAAACACCACTGTACAAAACTCAACTGATTTCACTCAAATCGGTACTTTAGTGACAATTGATGACACCTAAATAGCAGTAAAATACAATTTTGGTCAACTTACTGATGTTAAAAAGAATATTTTTAAAATTCAAATTGTAAGTCTAGTACTAGTACTGTCAAGCAACATCGTCTTCATCGTTTGCATTTATAGTGTGCAATACATAAGTGTCGACTATCAAATGCTTTGCTGGAGTGGTGACATCCAGTGGCGGGGGGGGGGGGGGGGGGCCTCTCAAGTTCAAGATATCAATTAAGCTATAAAACAATGTTTCTAGACAAAAATCGATCGATTAGCTATTCCCGTTTGGAAACAACATCTTAGATTTTCATGGTCGCAGCTACCATTGTACGGCCGTAGGCGCTATTTGAAATTTATCAAAATTTACCGGGAGCACCAGTAAATTTTTATATTCAATTTTTCTTGAAAGCAGAAGTGTTTTAGGACCTAAATTTTCTAGTGCTTGTAATGCATCCACAGGGGCATCCAAATATATCAAAATTGTAAAGAATCACTATCCACCCAATTTTCAACATTTCCCAAAACTTCATATTACCTTAAATTACTTTTAGACGAATTTACCAAGTTGTCGATGTTGTAATTTTGTTTTATTCATATTTTGTGACAGAGAGTTTGAAAGCTCAGCACCACATGTTGAAGAGACAATGTTTGAGGGGATTGTAACTTTGGCCTTGAAGCAACTGCATGGTGATGTTGGGGCAGCAATGGCGGTAGATCTTGTGATGTACAATTCTGGGAATTTGCAGGGAGTTCTTAGAGTTCAGGAGAGGTGGGTATTTGTTCACCAGATCATGTCTTGGACTTCATGGGATATTTTAATGAAATTATAATGGGAATATATTTTTCAAAAATTCACATACTCTGTTTCATATCAAACAAACAAAATGTACACAAAAACAGCTGAAAATTAAAAATCTTGAATGGTTACTTCAACAGTATATCATATATTTCCTCTTTACCTCCATTATATACAATTATTTTAATTACTGGTACCATTTTAAAATTGTTTACTAGTCAATTGTCTTTGAATGCCAAATGCACAATTTTAAACATTTAAAAAATATGACACATAATGTACATGTACATGTTGCAAATTACACATGCCATGTTAAATGAATCCCGGACAACTCGCCACAAAGACAACCCGCCCCAAGACAATTACCCGCCACAATACCCTGGACATCCCGCCACAATACCCTGGACAACCCGCCACAATACCCTGGACAACTCGCCACAGCCTTTTCGGACAACTCGCCACACTTTTTTCCCCTCATGATTTCTAGATCTAAAATCCCTCATCTTAGATGAAATTGTCATTTTTCATGATTTTCGTGCTTTTAAAAACACAGTTATGACAGGAAACATGGAAATTGTGAGTATTTTGAGAGCTGTTCTAAAGAATAAAGATGATTTTCCTTGCGCTTGCAACAAGAATCTATTTTGGACGAACCCAAGCCAGGCGTACTACGACTACGAGTTACGACTACGATTTTTAAGTTCATGTCTCAGGAAACTTTTTAATGGTAGGAATATGCTGCTATGTATCTTTGGCGTATCTTTACATTCTAATATTACCTGCCCCCCCCCCCCCCCCCCCCCCATCAGTACGCCAGTGCTTCCAGTATCCTACCATAAAAAAATTCTGGGACAGAAAAATGCAGCTGTTATAGACCTCTAGATCAAAAGTATATTATTGTTACAAGGGAAATCAACTTTATTCTTTTTAATGACTGTTTATAAAAGCACGAAAATCATAAAAAATGACAATTTCATTTCAATATATATTATTGTTACAATTAGGGAAATCAACTTTATTCTTTATTCTTTGTAATGACTGTGTTTATAAAAGCACGAAAATCATGAAAAATGACAATTTCATTTCATTTTAGATCTAGAAATCATGATGGGAAAAAGTGTGGCGAGTTGTCCGAAAAGGCTGTGGCGAGTTGTCCAGGGTATTGTGGCGGGTTGTCCAGGGTATTGTGGCGTGATGTCCAGGGTATTGTGGCGGGTTGTCTTGGGGCGGGTTGTCTTTGTGGCGAGTTGTCTGGACCCCTGTTAAATGATTGGAGGAGAATTGACTGAATTCCAAATAATTTTGTGATCCAACTATGGTAATTATGTGATGTCCTTCAATTGCATTCAGTGTACATTCAAAGTTTTAATTCATTATAAAATGACTGATTTAGTATATGATGCCTAGTATATAATGCTCCACATTTCTTATCATTTAGCGATTTGGTGAAGCTGTGGAGTGCATTGACACTGTATGGATATTATGAAAGCCAGAGATGTGCTTTCACTGTGCGAAAGGTGAGCTTTATATTACACACTTAACCTTGCTATGTACACTCTGCAGTGTAACATCAGTCTATGGAAGTGGTAGTACATCACAACCAATTAGTCCTGATTCATGATTAGGGACATTAATATACAGATGGAAAATTTGAAAACCAAAATGCATTCATCACCTTCTTGTTTTTTAAATAAAATAGCAAAAGATCACTACAGCTGTAAATATTGATAGTGGCGTGTGTGAGTTGTGCAAGGGAGATATCTAGCCATTCTTGTGAGTAAAAATAGAACTGTTCTAGCCTTCCAGGGACCCTTTGTGAACTTACTGAAATGGATTTTGAAGTTTTAAACAGTTTTTTCTTTCATGTTCACATTTCACAGGAGCCTTCTGATTTCATCCCACCGAAAGAATTCAGAAAACTAGAGGAAGCAGAGCTCGGCGGATGTGGATGAATGGAATTATAAAATCGAGATGTACGTTTGAGAAATTGGTTCCAGACATGGACCAGCAAAAAAAAATATGCCATGGACAATGGAGATGCTACTCATTCATGGTGTTGCAATGTCCTTTAACACACCTGGATTAATCAGGATTGTGTTAGGGTGTACCCAAGGCAAGCTAGTCCAAGCTATTTTGTCTCATATGTAACTGACCAGTGACCACATCTCAGATTTTCATGTGTCTGATCATATATGTATTAAGAGCCCTTCTAGTAATCAGATCGGATGAAATATGAGGAGCAACGGCACGTTCGTTGTTGATTTAAGTTCAGAACTCCACAATACTTGGTAATGTATGGAACGCTGAATGAATTTTAGGGACCTTCGACTTGCCCATGAATACCAAGCTTACTGTGTTCTCTAAGCAGGTTATAATGCCACTATTCTAAACATTTCAAATCAATTTTGAACTGAGAACCATGTGTATTGATTTCCACATTTTGCCCAATGTCAAATACATGTAGTCACAGAACAAGAAAGGATTTTGTGTTGTAGACTCAAACTGAACAGAGTACTGCGGTATACATGCATTTGTGTCTGTGTATTATTAATCAAGTGTATATACCATGCCTGATATATTTCTCATTTCTCAATCTTCATTAAAGCCCCTCTAAAGTGTTGGGACTCTTGGGAGCCCCAAAAATTTGATGGCTAAATTTCATAATGTGACAGTGAGAGAGGATGTCATTCAAGACACATTTCTGCAAGATTTTCAAAACAAATGTGTTTGAAGTCTAATATTGATGAAAGTATACCAGTACTAAATGTAGGTTTTCTGCCTACAACAGAAAACCCAAATTATGTTTTCTTTTATCAATATTTGTCTTCAGACACATTTTTTTTTTTTTTTTTTTTTTTTGGGGGGGGGATTCTTTGCAGAAGTGTGTTTTAAATGACATCATCTTTCAAACTATGATACAATTTAAGTGAAATTTTGCCATCAAATTTTTGTCGACTTTGGGGCTCCCAACACTTTAGAGGGGCTTTATTATATAATACTGAGCAGTGATGAAAATTGTTCAATCTTGAATGTGTACCGGTAGGCAAATATGATTTTCTGTTTCATGATATACATGCATCAAAGAAATACCTCTCATGGACAATTTACTTTTTCATAAAATGTCATTCTGTTTGTTAGTGCAATTGAAAGGTGTGAAGCAATAAACTGCGAATTCTCAGAATGTAATATATGTTTCTCTATGTTATTTGTCCAAGTTATTCAAAATGAACAACTATATTATTTATTCATGTATTCACCCTTACAGATTTGTTACATAAAGGACATATTCAATTTGTCATTTGAACCCGACGATAACCTAGAGAATAAAAAAACAAAGAATTAAAATTTTAGAATCTCAAAAGAAATGCCACTTTTTAAACCTACAGAAAAGCTTTAAAGGGCTTCCTGACCATATCTTTTTCATACTTTATTAAATAGTCGAGCAGATAAACTACACACGAGACATTTTGTTGAATGAAAATTTATTTATTTTATGAGGGTGTAACAAATCTCATACAAAATTTAAAACAAGTTGTAGATATCATCATTTACCTCACCTTTAAAATGTCAAGGTAACTGATCATTGATTTATTACTGTACTATCTTCAAAAATGCAGGTACAGTACCAATAAAGACTCGTCCACCTTATTGCAGGGTGTAACACTTTACATTCTTCCAACTTTATTATTTTAAAAGGGTAAAATCAATATTACAGAATCTGTTGGGACCGCAATAAATACTTTTTGTTTGACTTACGCAAAATTCTAATTAGAAAGTGTAAATAAAATGTGTAGCATAATTTGTTCCAAGGATAGATTCGTCTTGGGGAGAATTTGAGTTGTGCAGAGTTAACTGTATTTTACAAAGGGATATAAACTGCTGTGGGTGCAAGTAGTAAAAACTTCCTGAATTGATTACAGTACTCTAATGATTAGTTATCACAATTGAAATCTACTCCTCCAAACTGGCAGCATTATAAAGTTTCACTATGCAGCATTTGGGTGTGATGCCCTCACAGTGGCATTTTAGCCATGCGGTAACGCTATCACATCAGTTGTCGAGTCCTTTCAAGAAGAAAAGAGTCCATGTACTACACATAGTTTTTATCATATTAAGTACATGTATCTGGAAATAGCATAATTAAGAAGGGATCTGGAATATCAATTTCTCAAATTCATTCAAATACACATTGGAATCAAGTTCAAACTTAACTTGTGTAACCAGCCATATAATATTTCAACATGGCACAATTTTCTTCCTCATTAAACACTTCTCTGTCACTTAAAATGAAACACAATATTTAAAGGGTTCAGGTGGACAACGCCCTTTAAACCAAGTTTTTTTTTTAATAAAATGGAATGAAAGGAGCTGGAAGGGGATTGGAGCTTATGTGTTGAATTCTTCATTAAGGAGCACAACTGAGGTTTGGTTCTTGTCCAGCAAATTGCATTTACTCATATATGTTGCACTGACCAAAATTCTTGATGTGTTGAACCAGAGGCAGAATAATATCAGAGTTGGGAGAGAATTGTCATGGTTGGCATGTTCTTGTCTCCTTGTCATGAAGCTGAATCCACTCCTGACTCTACAAAGACATAAAAATATGCCTTAACTTGGTTGCACTTTTGCAAAACTGTTTGGACCCGTTCTTAAGACTCAAGTTCACAAGAGGCGAGATGCACAATCTCTGCTGCTATCGTCACACTTAATAAAGCTGAATTGTAGGTCACCTTTTATCATCCAGTTCGTAGAGTTCAATGAGTTCAGTGACGATCTTCTGAATGATCTCTTCACTAATGTCCTCTGAAAATGCCTGCAAACAGAAGTTAAAATGGATGTCATAAATCACAGTACATGTAAATTGGAAATGGGCAATAAAGAGCTCTGGCATTATGAGATACTTGATAAAACAATGTCATTTTCATGGTTCAAATGTCACTCATTACAACACGTTTCCACTGTAATGGGTTCAGTGCAATGCGTCGCCTTGATAATCGACAGCGATCTAAAACCATAGAGTCTGTAATATTTAAAGAGATTAAAAATCTGGACAATTTCCCCCTACATGATCTCAATACAGGCAGGCCTGATGTTTTTCCTCCCCCTTTCTTGTTGTTGAAACCCCCTACTAATTCCACTTTCTCCTCTCATATTGGAGAAAGTAGTGCACATACTTCATGTGTACTTCATGTACACAGAACCATAGTTCTGAATAGCAATCTGAAAAATGCCCCTTACGTCCTTGATATACATGCAAATATCCTTTGTGCACATCCACAAAATTTAAGTACCCGGTAACTGCACACACTAAATCATCGTCATCATTTATTAAAGTCCACATTTTCCCTCTTATGAGGGGTTACTGACTTTCTCCCCGTGATGAAACTTCCACCCGCCACTTTTTCTTGTGTTCACGCAAATAATGCCTCCTGTACATCCAAGCTTGAACACATATCACATAAAATTATTCTAAATGATTCGGGATAAAACACTCTTTCATAATATTTATAATAATTTACTGTTCATAGATGTTTTTTAAAATAATTAGCAATTTTATAGGTGTAAACTTTTTTTTGACTCACACTGTATACGAGATTAATTATAACGTCATGAGGTCTACTCAAAAGGATTTTTTCATTCAAAAAATAACAAACCTTCCACCATGGATTGGCAGCCTCATCATTGAGTGGCACCTCCAGACCATAACATTGTAAAGAAAAGTACATGACAGCTACCGCCATGTGTTGAGGTTTGGTACGCAGGGCAATGTCACTATGGTAGCTATCCCTCAACATGGCCCAGGCTGTCCGACAGACTGGTGTCTGATCCCAAACATCTCTGTCCATCCAGTGTGACAGGGACTTCAGGTAATGTACAAGGTACTTGTGGGGTAGGTCACCAATCTAAACAGGAAACGGTTTTGCAGTAACAAATTCTGGTTACAAACTAGATAATTTTTAAAGACAGTTTTCATTATACCAGGGAAAACACTGTCCCTGTTTACACATGGATCCTGTACAAATTGATGAAGCTCCTATTTCAATGTTTGAAAATACAAATGAAACCACATTACTATGTTTATGCTTATGGAGGGGAAACATAGGGCTCAATATGTTATGTCATACTTTTGAACTCAAAGTGTCCCACTATGAAAAATTATGTGGTACAAATTATGTGTACAACAAAGAAAACAAGGAATTCATCCCTACAGAGCTGAGTAAGTTTGATTTATTGTAAATATTATGTCATTATTTTTTCTTTAAGGACAACATACCTTTGGGTTATACTTGAGCATACGGACCAAGAGCAGTTCGCAGTTGACAAGACTGTCCCTGAGTTCCCAGTATTGTTTGCCAACTTCCAATGGAGTTTCTTCTTTATGTAGAATCCTGAAAAATTATTTTGAAAAAAAAGAAAGAGATGAATGAAAAGTTGGAACAACAGAATGCTACTCCCTATGTCTTGAATTTACCAATGAATGACTCTTTAAATCTGACACTGTGACCACAGTTTATGTTATGCAGGTAACTTCTTTGAGATCAATAATGAATACAGAGTTTCATGTAACTTGAATTTAATGACCCAAACTTATATTGATAAAAAAGATCTCAAATTGCAGTACACTTCTAAAAGTCAAAATAACAATGAACAAATAATCATATAAAAAACAGCATTTATAATGCCTTCATCGATCCAGTAAACAATTCTGAGAGGAACGTTGAGAATGATTTGCATAGATCAATAAATAAGAGAGAGAGAGAGAAGTACATGTTTAACAAACAAATGTTACAATGACACAGAAAATATATGAACTTAAACAAATTGTGACCCACTGAGCCTTGACACTAACTTTCAATTTGGAAAGACAAAACATATAAACCAATAATACCAATAATAATGTTAGTAATAATGAAATTCAAAATAAAAATATTTTGATTTGTTTTCTAAATTTAGTTTGTACGTACGGATACATGATGCAGCAAAACACTTAAGGCCAAGTTCCTGTGATTTTGTTCTTTCTAAAAACAATATAATAATTTACGTCTACGGTCTACAGACAACTTTAAAGATCTGGTGTTTTTGCCAACATATAGCTACAGCAAAGATTTGTTAGACCTCTTATTGTTATATTGAAGCCCATGGTAAATAAACCACAGAGCTTGGCTCTGCTTTTGAATTAGATATAAACATGGTCCATCATTTCTGTCATACCTGTAGCAGACATTGATGATGTCTCTAAGTTTAACATGCTGCTCTTCAACTTTGGTGGCCAGGTAGATGGCTGTAGCTCCTATCAAGTATGGATCATAGTTGTTCAGCTCACACTCTGCAAAGAAGCGATGGTAGATACAGCATGCAGATGCCAGCGTCACAGATTCCAAGTGTAACTTGATTCCGGCTTCCATCACATAATGGATGACCTACACAAGGAGGTACGATGTGAATGAGCATGTCAGCACAGGGATGTGCTTGGCCGCAGGCATATTTGTTTTAATATACATTGGTTTCATATGAAAGAACTTCCTATTTAAAACATGCTAAATGCAAGTTGGCCCCACAACAATCTACAGTTTGTATACATGTTGATGTAAGTAGATAAAATCTATGACCAGAGTATTTCATCACTAACCATAACCTATAACATTAATCACAGTGGTGGTAAAGCTGACATGGTCAAACATTTGCCTGACTGTCTAACTTTGGAATACATATACACATGTATGGAGGAAGAAAGAAATGTCTCTAGAATGAATGCATTATGGAGAAATCTCTTTAGGATATATACTTAGGTACATGTATTTCTCAGTTGTGAATATCTCATTGATGAGTCGATTTCAAATTCATTATAAGAGGTATGGTTCTATTAATGTTGTTAAATTCAAATAATTGTTTATAAATTTGCCAAGTAGTGTATAAAAAGGAAAGAACATGTTTATCCAGCTAGATATGCAAACCTAACATATCTCGTCCTCTAAACCTTCAAAGTTTATTGAAAAATAAAACCCCCAAACTTTCATGATTTGGTTTATGAACATCACTTTAAAGGAAGCACAAACCTTAAAATGGGTTTTCTTGTCTAAATCTTCTCTGGCGATATTGAAAACTTCACCGCCATCAGCATCCATATCTATGTCAATAACTGTAGACTTTTCAAATTTGATGTGATTCATTGCTGCTTGCAGAGTTTAGGATAAGTTCTAACAGCGCTTGAATGTGACCTTGTCTCAGTTTGCTGTAAAAGAATAAGAAGATACAAGGAAAAATAGATTATGATCATTCTGTTTTCAGAATTAATAGTTATGGATACTGAGGTTGAACATCAGTGACACGGACTGGCTCTGAAAGGGGAAGTCCATCCTGATATTAAGTTGGTTTTAATCGAAGCAGAAAAAGAGAAAAAGAGAAAAACAGGTAAATGAAAGTTTGTTTGAGCAAATTTCAATTAAAAATAAGACAGCTATGAATTTTGAAGTTGCGATCAATCAAACAAAACTTATCAACACCTCAACGTACCTTGGGAGCTCCTCACCAATTTGCTCTGTACAGAAAAATGTCATAGACATTAATTTTCTTCGTTATTGATGACGGAATAGATTTTTTCATACTTATTTGCAATATGATACTAAAGGCCAAGTCCACTCTAAAAAAAAAATTACTTTCAATAGAAGCAGAAAAATCAGACAAACCAATCAAAAAAGGTTTGAGCAAAATCGGATAACTAATAAGAAAGTTACGCATTTTTGCATGTCAGAGGGTTAGTACATCGAAAGGAAGATAATAGGCAACATTTCAGAGATACCTAAATTACGTAATTTTTTAATCAACCTTCAACAATGTTACCACTGAATACCACATCACTTTAAACCAGATTACCTACCGACTACAATTTTTGAAGTATTTTGCATCTCGTATCCCCTGGCCCTGCTCCTAATTTCAATCTTTTTACTTCCTAAATTATTTTAATAATTGCAGTTTTTCTAAATTGGCAAAAAAAAAATATATAGATTCTAGGGTCTATAAATCAGGTGGTATTGCAACTGAGGCTGATTATTTCTTCAATCAATGTCTGAATGACTCACGCTTCTTGATTTTACGAGATGTTTGCTAGTGCTACCATGGCTACAGACTCTTTCAATCTTTGTTCATCAGTTTAGGAAGATCAGAGACACAAGACATCTCCGTAGCTTGGCCCATGGCCACCAGCAGCCGGACCAGTGCAGTGTAAGTGCTTGCGCTGGCGCTACGGCTCCTCAGCCTCGTCCTACCTTATGGGCTAGGGCCAGGATGCACCGGTAGACCGAGGCACAACCCGCGAGCGAGGCTCGGCAGGCTGCCTTGCGCTGGCCTGGCCTGAACTGAAGCCCTGGCCCTGAATTATAATATAAAATTACCAAGTTAGACTACGCGCGTCTACGCTTAGAAAACTTACAGTCAAACTAATCGGGGTATAGATTCGAATCTAAGTATGATGTCATGGAACCTGGACATATCTTCAGAACAGAACTTCCTTTCCATCGAGAGTCAAGAGCGTCGTGTAACTCAAGCTTGGCTCACATTTCCTAAAAAATCCATGGGGGCTGCCATTTTTCTCAGTTCACTTTACGCTGTGCGCATGCGTCGAAGACGGAATTTGAAAAAAGAGTTCTCGCAGCAAGACGCAGAATTCAGAATCATCAAATTTGGGAACTGATTTTGTTTTTATTGGCTCATTGTTTGCTGTTTCAGGTTATCGCCATGGCTAGTGTTTTGGTAAGTTTTTTTTTCTACATGTTTCAAATTTAATACAAGATTTGTATCTTTTTACGGCAATTTTTACTATGTTTGTCTTGGAAACAAATTGGTTTTAATGTTACCCACACGTTGAAATTCATGTTGGTTAAAATTTACTCTGCGGTAGTGTTGTCATTCAGCAGGGTCATCATTAGGATCATGGATGTGGTCATATTTGTTCATGCTCTTTGCAATTTAGGATCTATCTGTAAGCTGTTAATTCTCTTTGTGTGTGTGTGAGTGTGTGAATGCATTTCAATTATTTATGTAGACAGCTATGGGGACGTAGACTCTAGACCTCTAGACTAGTCTAGATGCGAAAAACAGATTCCGTATTGATTTTCTTGATGCATTTTACAATGACTTTTTACAGAGACTAGAATTTCACGTTATGACTATGAGCGATAAATCCTCTGGAAGACGGACAACCCATAAAAGTAGACGGTAAACTGGGGTTATTTTATTACGCAGAATCCTTTTTTCGCATTGCCAGCGCGGGGTTCAGGGGCCGAAACCCGCAGAGCGCTGATGAAAATAAAAGTCAGTGATGAATTTTTGATATTTCCAGTTTTTAACCAAAGTCTAAATCCTGTCAATATTTTTTGACATTTCATTGGGTTTTTTCCCAGCGATAGTCTTGGTCGTTCCATTTATCAACTTGGCCTCAGCCATTGTACAAAATTAGCCACAAAATGAGTTTTTGTTTCAGTGTGTTTAGCGCATGCACAGACTACAGAGTTCACTATATTTAGCAGGCTCCCTGCTTCCATGCCATTTTACACTACCGGTAATAGATATTATCACAAAGTAAGTATCAATTTGGCAACATGAAAAAAGCTGTATTTGTGTCCAAAGCTTGATTGTATTTAAGTTTCCTGCAGAACACTGGGGGATTAAGATTTTACTGTTAGATTATATTTTTTTGACCAAAGCTCAGTGAAAATATCACAAGTTCACAACAACCACACAAAATTTAATAACAAAATCTGCTTGCATTTCAATAAAAGTTAATGAAATTGTGATAAAAAATTAATATATTATTATATTTTCATCTTTTTAGGAGGATCCCACCTTGGAGAGAAACTACAAAGGTCATAGAGACACCATAACATGTGTGGACTTCAACCCAAACATGAAGCAGCTCGGTATGAAGTCATTTCATTGTCATGCAAGAATTTGTTCTGTATTTCAAGTTTTCAAGTTACGTTGTAATTTTGCCATTATGCAAATCTGTCACAATCAAATGCCATGATTGATATTTTTCTACTTCTTCCATCTCATTCAAAGTGGTAATTATTTGTTAGTTTGATAATTTTCAATTTTATCAAAGGTTGCTATAAAATTATTTCTTTTATAATGTCATGCTATGTGAAAAACCTGAAGTGGCGTAATATACATGCTCCTGCCTGGGCTGCCATACAGTTATATTACTTGTAGGATATCACCTTGACCAATAGTTCTGTTTTTTTTTCCTTCTCAATGTTCTAGCCTCTGGGGCCATGGACTCGTGTCTTATGGTGTGGAACTTCAAGGCTCAGATGAGGGCTTTCAGGTTTGTGGGTCACAAGGATGCTGTCCTCTCTGTCAATTTCTCTCCGTCAGGGCATCTTGTAGCATCCTCGTCAAGAGATAAAACAGTCAGACTTTGGATTCCTAGTGTGTACGTATCCTTTCTTTTGTTTATTTGTTATCTTTGTTTTGTTTGTTATAATATGTTTCATCTTGCATTGTTGTACAATACAACTTCTGAAAATGAAAAATTTGCAATTGGTTGATGAAATCCTAACAAGAATTACTCTTCACAAACAGGCCTGGTCCATGTTTGACCCCACACCTCTTACAGTAAAACCTTACACATTTCTAGATTTTAACAATAGACCCACGCATAGAATACGGAAACATAAAAGCCTCCTTGTTTAAAAAAAATTGTAGCCTCGTCTGTCATTGACATTTGTGTATTTTCCTCTGTCCGTCTCCCTGTTGAATAGGCCATTTTCCTAATTTAATGAGTTTTAATGCATAAATCTTTGTTAAGTGCAATGTTACATATTATTTCATTCACCAATTTTATTTCTATATCGGTAGTCAGAATGCAAATTGCATACATTAGTTGTTGCGAGGTAGGCTTAGAATCATGGCTTTTTCTACCTAACAACACGTCTATCGGGAGAGTTGGCTCTTCTTCAACACCCACACTCTAACCCCATAGATTCATATATTATTGTGCTATTCTATTTTTACTTCAGGAAAGGAGAATCTACTGTTTATAAAGCTCACACAGCCACGGTCCGCAGTGTCCAGTTCTCTAATGATGGTCAGCATCTACTCACTGCTTCAGATGATAAGACAGTCAAGGTAAGGGTGTTTTATAGCAATGACAAAACAAATTCTTTAGGCTTTTAGCTCAGTGGTTTTGGGTTTTATGGCTCAGAGGATGTAGTCTATTATGTTATAAAATGGTTCTTCTTTTTAGTCATTCAGGACAACATAATTTACTTACATTGACATCTATATGAGTACTTTTCATCCTAACATGATTTGTTAAAGTTTAAGTTACTTTGGTGTAATGGAAAGAAGTCCTATTATTTCATTTATGAAAGTTTGTGCATTTAGAAGGTTTGCTCCACTCAAGAAGGTTCTTAAACAGGTTGTTCTGTTAACGTTCTGTGGATTTCACAAAAAGGAAACTAGTGAAAATGTTATGAGAAGAGTTATTAGAAAAAATATATGCACATTGATTGTACATTGTACATGTACATGCCTTCTCTTTAGTAGTAAGCAAATAATTACCGTTGGTGAAGGTGATGGGACAAACTATCACTTCCGAGGGAATCTGGATGTAGCTATCTTTCCCAAGCTGAGGAAAGATAGTGTATACATTCAGATCGCAGAGGAAGTGATAGTTTGCCATCGCCTGAAACCAAAAGGTGATTATTTGCTTTATATTCCACATCAAAAGCATTTCACTGGTAGGGTATAATCTCATTGTTTAGGCCTAGTTCTAACAGTTACTAGACCATGGTGGCCGTGGTCGCCTGCTGCGTTGAAGGTAGTACACAGTACAATGCACTTTCACCGAAGATAGTACACAGTACAACACACTTTCACTGAAGATAGTTCACAGTGTGACACACTTTCACCAAAGATAGTACACAGTGTAACAAACTTTTCTTCTCTCATTAATGATGGGCGAAACTATGTTTCATCACGTGATTAACTGTTGACCAATCGTAGAGCAAGATTCTTTGTATGTGGAATGTAATGCTTTTTTTCTATCTTTGATTTATGAAGTATCAGTTATAATATTGTATACAATCTGTAAATCTGTTAGTATGCAGTAACTTCAGATGTTTTGATAATGCCCCTACATGATTTCATTTGCAGGTGTGGACAGTTCACAGACAGAGGTTCCAGTTCTCCCTGACTCAGCATAGTAACTGGGTGCGATGTGCCAAGTGGTCACCAGATGGTCGACTGATAGTATCTTGCAGTGATGATAAGACAGTCAAGGTGTGGGATAGGACCAGCAAGGAATGCATACATACATTCTTTGAACATGGAGGGTCAGTTGATTTACTCTTTTGATTACTTTTATTATCATGTAAACATTAAACAGTGTAAACAACATACTTAGATCAGTAATTTCCAAACTCATATAACATAAAATGAGAACATTCACAAATTTTGAAAGGATGATAATTTTATGGCAAGAAGATGTCATAGATGGCATTATCAAGTATCATTGTTGTGATTCATTTATTTTCTACATTAAACTTTTGATAATCTGGACTACTCATGAAATAAAGAACTTTCATGCATGAGAATATTGCTGGTTTATCAGTAATCTGATTGTTCAACATCCCATATCATGACTCTTGATATTGCTTCGGATAACAGTACATTATATGTTGATTTTTTGTTTTCCTTTATCAGGTTTTATGATTTAATGTAGACGTATCATTCATAATTTTATTACCAGATATTGTCAATTAATATCAGGCTGCTGATAAAAAAAATTTAAAAAATTATTTGTTTACAAATGCAAATTCAGACCTTTTCGTTTAGGAAAGAGCGCCCTCTTCATATGAATTTGATCTGGGGGGGGGGGGGGTTGCTAATACTACCAATTGAGCTCCTTTTAAACCTGTTTATGTATTGTTTTTTTTTTCACTTTTTGTAGCAGTGGTTATAAGTAGGGTCTGTGGTGTTGATACTATTACTGGCCCAGTATCCAAATGGGAAACTAATAGAAAAGCAGAAAATTAGCTTTGAATTAAATAAATGAGAAAAGTCTGAACTATGATGTTTCAAAGAGGGCTTATGCACTGTGCTTGGCAAGCATAATTATTTGTTTTAAGTGCTTAAGTTTGAGATTTAAATCACTCGTTTGTAAAGAAAACCCCATTGAAAAAAGACACATAATTATCTTGTTTGTTTTTTTTATTGTATTTGAGCAGTACTTTGTATTTCCTGAATTTTTTTCATTTACTTTATTCAGAGTTGCTTCATAATTCAATCCATATTTCTGTTTACTTTTAAGATTTGATATTGATATATGACTATATGACCCTGAATCGTGAATAATAAACATGATGTAAAATATGATAAGCAACATGAGGAATACACAAGGATTTTGAAGAATTTCATGTTTTTTTTTTCTAGGTTTGCTCATTCAGTAGCATTTCATCCCAGTGGCACTTGTATCGCTGCAGCCGGTACAGATAATACAGTCAAGGTGTGGGACATCAGAATGAACAAATTATTACAGCATTACCAAGGTTAGTCGACTTACTATTACAGTCAAACCTGCATGAGCGACCACCTGTATAGAAAGACCACTTTTCATGTTTCCCATGAGCAGTCTTTGAATACAGGGACCTGTTTCACAAAGCCTTTTTTCAATGAAAAACGACAAAAATCAGTATCAAATCTGCCGATAACCAATCAGAAGCAAGGATTTCACTAGCTTATAATAAAAACTGTCATTTGTCACTGGTGACAAGTTTTGTGAAATGGGGCCCTGGTTTCACTGTACCACTAAATGCATTTATCACAGCTACAGTGGCATAATTGTGGGGATGCAAGCTAGATGCGACCATTTTGAATTCGTTCACACTGCAAGAAAACCAAGAAATCAGGATATTCATCTGTCGCTAAGTTATTGTTTATTGCTCTGGTGTAGAGGCTACTGAGAGCATAGCACTGAGCTGTTCAGATCTATTGACCCAAGTTCATGAGAGAATTTTATCTTAACCAAAAAACATTCGTAAACATAGTGCGTGCGAGTCCTCATGTCCAATGGCAGGCAATGCACTTCAGTCCATGGTTTTAAATTTTACAGGCCTGATAAAAACCTGATTTTATTTTATTTTTCCCGATTTTCTCCTGATTTTTTTTCTTCCCGATTTAAAAAAAAAAAAAATCAGATTTTGTTTTTATTTTTTTATTTACTTTTTTTTACCAGATTTGTTTGTCTTCCCTATTTTATCCTGATTTTCGCTATTTTCCCCTTATTTTTTCAATTCTTCCCTGTTTTGCCCTATTTTTTCCCAATTTTTTTTTTTTTTTCCCAATTTTCTTATTTGAAAGGGGGGAATGTTGTTAGATGCCATTTTTTCCTCACGGATCCTCTTCTTTTTTTTTAACTCAAGGGGGGCGGGGTTGCGGGGGAAAACAAAAAAAACTATTTTTTGTTTAGTGCTCACTATCACCCCTGATTTTAACCAAGGTCTTTATAATCTAAACCTTATTGGTGAATTCAGGCCGTTGATTTGAGAAGATAAATGTTAATGACTCTGCACCCTTTTTAACAAACTACTGATACAGGGTTGTCTCCAAAGTTGCTTTGATAGCGACTCAGACACGAATAAAGCATTCTTCATTGCATGCACACCCGCATGCAACGCTAATTTATCTGCTCAGGCTTCAAAATATGACAATCTCCCTGTACATGTGTAGGGGCCAGGGGGCTGCAATTTGAAAGTAATGCTTGAATTTCGATAGTAATAAAAATGAATTCCAGCAGAATAAAAGCAAACTAAAACATGAAATTTAATTTAGTTTTAAGAACTGTTTATCAAAAGAGAATGGAAAGTCTTCTCTTCAACACTATAGTATAGTTCTAATATATATCCCAGTATATTAATATGGAATTTTGTATTCATACGTAGATGGTATGTATGCCTATAATGCAGTTTGAATGCCAGAGAAAACAGTATGCCTTACTTATTTCATTTTAAATGGCAACCTTTTAAAAGTAATTTTCTTAAGTTTGAAATCAATTCCCTTGTGATCATTCTAGCATTGCTCTTTAGATGGAAGGATTTTATTAAAATGATGAATGAAACCTCTCAACTACAGACAGAGCCATGGTAATCATTCATTATTGTCTACATTGAATGGGTTCTTATTGTCAGAATACCACAGGTGACATTCCAATTTCTTTGTAGGTTTCATTCAATCTTGCTAATGCCTCCTATTACCTGCTAATTGCTAAATGTCTGATTACAACATTTTTCCAATTAAAGAGAGAACGAAAATATTGTGAAGGTTCTCCTCCTACTCTACGGTTTCAGCCAGGCTCAATCCAGAAAATTGCCTGTGACGGACATTGAATGATTAGATCTTGACGAGGAAATTGATGACCCTAGTTGGCTGCTGTCCCATGGGAATGAGATGCTTGCTTGCTTGCGTGTTCTTGGAGAAATTGATGCTTTCCAGGAGCCCCTTCCCCTTAGATTTCCCTGGCAATTTGCACTAACCCATCTCATGATCTTGGAAATGCCTGGAAATTGGCACCAAATTGAATGTGTCCTGTATGGAGCTATATTTGAAGGGCAGGAAGGCATTGGATGTACGCCAACATTGAGCCAATTGGGTGGAAGTTACAGTGGGTGTGGTAACTAAAATGCAGTTTGTGATTCTAAATGCAGATCTAAAGCTTGGTCCAATTTTTACTAATGTCTTCTTTCCCTCTTTGCTTGATTTTTTGTTTATTTTTTTGATTATTTCTTCATTCCTTAGAGCTGGTTGGTTTATGTTGTTTCTTTCCTACAATTTACCATCAATTTACCACACATCAGAATCATGTGTAATATCAAGCCTCTTGCTTTCACTAGTCTTAATGAACCTGTAATATAATTCTGCTACTATACCTTTATCATAGCTGCCAACCACTCCTATTTTCGAGGAAGGATTTCTTTTTGGGGGTCTTCAAGCTACTGTTTTGAACCCTAGATTTCTCTCTCTTTCTGTGTGAAAAGTATATACAAAATAGACTGTATTCCTAATTTTGCCTTGAGAGATTCCTAACTTTGACTGTGAAAAGTTTGCAGGTATGCATTATGTTAATAATCACATGTCTGTATTGCTCATGTCTTCAATTCTTCCAGTCACTTCCAGGAAGTTTAAAAAAAAGATAAGCTTAGTCATTCATCTCAGAAGATTACCAGCTAAGGTTCATGAATGGATATCATTGAATTAGGTGTTAATACCTCCAGGTGTTACAAAAGAGGTGGAGCTGCTAATGTTGTATGAAAGGTGCTAACATGGATTATCCAATCAGGATTAGATGGATTATTAAGATTATATTTATTGTCGCTCTTTAGTCACTTTGGGTGTGGATGAAATGATTGTGCTCACGATCCAGTCATAACTCCTATTCTCAGATCATCCTCCCCGTTTTGATTTTTTTTTTTAATTCTATGATTTTGTATCTTCCTCATCAGGGGCAAGAATGTGTTTTCCCCTCTTGTAATCACTGTTTTCTTCCCATCTCCTAAAAGTTACATTATAGACATTTCATAAATATTGAATTAAGTAAGGACAAAGTATATCATGCCGATACTTGGATGTTAATATGCTTTCTCAGAAGGTTTGAATGATATTTTTGTAAATTACTTTTCATCAAGTCCTAGAAGAAAAAAAAATCAAACTTATAACTAAAATGGAAGCCAGTTTGTACAAATCATGTTGTGTATATATATTTCCTTGAATACAGGTTTGAAATATTTTCTGGGGAAAGTCAATTATAGTGTTTTAATGAATTTCTTCCTGGGGCATAGTGAAAGTGCAACCAGTTTGTAGTGGAGGTTCTTTTAATACCATTATTTGAATGTTCTAAAGCAAGACCAACAATAAATGGGTCACTGATAGGAGGTAGTGAAGTTCTTGGTTTATTGTTCTTTTACTTCTCCTTTTCTATTGCATATTTTGGGGGCATTTTTTTTCTCCATAAGAGGCGATGCTATTAAAGATGACCTGTTTGGGCATTAGGAACCATGACTAGCCTTGTGAGCCCTTGTACTTCAGCTCGTTCTCTCTCTAATATTGGGTTAATGAATTACTTCCCAGGGAGAGTGAAGTGGAACAGCAGGTGAAATTTAGTGGAAATCATTCATTTCAAGTCATGAAGAAATCAATCATGACCTGACAGTTGGTAGGTGGAGGAAGGTTGAGGAATATTCACACCGTTGCAGTCCTTGATAACTGAAAATCAAGAAATGACAAGATTGACCAAAAATGCCCTTAGTTTGGTCTAGTTTTCAATACTGGTTTGTGATGTTCGTCACTATCATCATTCATCACCAAGGTGCCAGTTCTGTTGCAGGTATCAGCCGTCAGCCCCCCCCCCCCCTCCCCCCTCCCCCATTTCTGCTAATCTGGGGGGTGTTTCACAAAGATTCTAAGTTGGACTTGAAAATTATGGAGAGCCATTTGTAGCCTTAAATAAAAGCAAAAATTCAAGTATTTTAGACTTTTCATGAATTCCACATCAAGAACATGAAATCTCCTTGATAATAGATAATATGAATGATTTGAATCAAAATGTTATGCCTTTTAAAATAACTATAACAAAATATTTTCAAAGATGCTAACTGCTTTCCATAATTGTTAAGTCCAACTTAGAGATAAGTTCAACTTAGGATCTTTGTGAAAAACCCCCCCCCCCCCCCCCCTGCTATACTTTATATGCTGGTGGTATTGCTGATTTCATTTTTGGTTACCCATTTGTTCAGGCTCTGCAAATATGTAAGGTGTTGCCTGCCCCTGCTTCTCTCTCCAATAATCTTCCATTGTTTTTTCTAGATTATCCTCTCTGTATTACGTGACCAACAAATTGGCTCTTTTTTATTGTTTTGATTGGTGATGGTTGTGATGTTATTTGTATGACAATGGCTATTAGATGTTCACTATATTCTGTTATTAGAAACATGGCTATTAGATGTTCACTATATTCTGTTATTAGAAACATGGCATCATGCAGTGATTCGGTTTCCAAAGTCAAAGTGCAATCTAGACACTGGACTTTTAAATAGCCTTGATTTTTTTTTAAAGTATTTTAGAATTTCTTCATTATTTTCTCTTTAGTTTACACACTGCTAGTGCTAGCTATCAAATAATCTGGACTGTGGGTATCCAAAAGACATATTCAATGCAAAATCTGTGCAAGTATTTGCAACTAATTCAGCTCTTACATGTATATAACCCTGCCATGACTTTAATTGAGTCCTAGTTTTCTGTGGCATTAAGTTAGCTCAATCCTATATGCTTTTGCCTCAGAGCTGTACATACAGTATGTATAGCAGATCTTTGTCAGTCACCCCCCTTGGCCCTATTTGAAGAAATTATGTGATTTTACACATAAATGATTGCTACGAAGGACAAACTAACATTGTTCAATCTTCAAAGTCAGAGAATAATTTTTTGTATGAAGAAAGGCCCCTCCCCAAAATAGACGAGAGCTTGTGAGTCATCAAGAAACACTAATCTTGAATGTACATGTAGCTCTTGTTGGTTCTGAAAGTATGAGTGCACTGTGTTATTCACCTAGGGAGTGTTTCATAAAGGCTAAGATCGACTTTAAGTTGGACTTAAACTATAGCAGGCCATTCATGCAACTGGATGCTCTCACTATTATCATCTTTAGAGAATATTTTTTCCTTCAATAATGAACTATCAAAAAATGTACATTTTGTAGATTTGTGACCATGATTTGTACATCCCTTGAGAGACCAATGCCAGTATAAATTGGTGAGAGAAAACAGTGGCATGTACGGCCTGCCATAGTCGAGTCCAACTTAAAGTCGATCTTAGTCTTTGTGAAACACTCCCCTGGAGTTATATGATGTAGTTATTATGATGTACCTGCACCAGTATATTCTGAAAAGAGAACTGCTAGAGTTCCTAACTCACAATTTCATTGCTTATGAAACACTATTGGACACAAGGTGCCAGCCATTAAAAAAAAAATTGCATGTTCTCTATGTACAAGAAAGGAAGCAATCAATTTCATCAAACTGATACAAGAAGATTCAGTACAAAATAATGCTGATAGTATGATTTCCAAAAAGAATTAAGATATAATATGCTGTGTATTTGGCTTCTTTTTTTCTTTTCCTCTTTTATTTTTATCATTTTTTTACTACTATTTAACTTTTAATTGAAAAGAAAAGAAAAATATGTTGTTTTATCATTTTCTTTCTTGACCTCTGCATAATTCTTTACTAATTGAGAAGCAATATTATATTACTTTATGTCCTCTCAGAACAACACATAGATATGCCTCTATTTTTCCTCTATCGTACAGCTTCTTAACAACCGACTATGATTATAATACTTTATGTCATGTTTGTATTTATTGGTTTTTGCTGATGAATGCTGATCATCCCTTCTCTTTTCCATCACTCATTCTTCCATCCTCTCCTCTTATGTACTGTTATCTCCTTACTTTTCTCTAACTCAGCAAATTAACTATTACAATTATTATCATTTACATGTCAGAATGAAGCATCTTTTGAATGCAACCTTTTTGTTCTTCATGTGTATCTTGTCTTTATGATTGAATAGTTATCTTATCTATTTATCAGTTATGATGGTGGGCGGGGGCTGTCTATTAGGGACTGCTTTGGGTTGTTTTTTTTTGTTTCATTTAAAGGCCATAAAAAAAAAACATGTTTAGCGTCCTGCCTTTTTGAAAAATAGGAAGGAGGAGGCCTTTTTGTTTCTTCTTTTTTTTCTTTCCAAAGTGGCCGCTCGGTACATTTCCCCTGACAGTCGGGCTATTTTGCAAGATGGCCGCCAGGATTTTTTTTTTAAAATCAGAAATAGATCATTTTAGCAGTATGTTTTTCATGTGTTTTTCATTACCCACCTAAAAAAAAGATTATTATAAAAAAAAAAAAAAAATTAGGAGGTGACCCCCCAAAAGGAAGGGGGCAGGGCCAGGACGCTAAAACTTTTTTTTCTTTTTTTTTAATGGCTTTACCCACAGTCGATGGTTCTCCACATTGACATCTTACATACGTAATTCCCTCTCTTACTGAACTAAAATTTGTCTATTAAGGCGATATTTTTGTGAAATTGCCTCATATTCCTGAACATGTTCAAGTTAATTTATCCTTGATTACTTAATGAAATTGCCTGAATTATTTTTTTGATAATTACTGATCCACATCTTTGATACATTTCTAAAGCATATGATATTGCTGTATGATGTTACCATTGTTATATTGTTTTTGTATTTTGATGTTTGTAATATAACGTAACTATTACATGATTACTTTGTAAAAACAGACAATATAAGCCGTGAGCTGCATGTCATGTTGTTTTGATAAACCAATTCAGTTCAATACATGTAATATAACAGATACACTGTAACCGGCATGGACATGGACAAAATAGGCCTTAGAAGAATATTAGTTTGGTAATAGAGATTTATCTTCTACCGCAGCTAGACTGATTAGAGTAATGGACTCTTAGAGTTATCGTGCTGATTCTAATTATTCTGTCGGGAGCAGGAAGGATTACTCCAATAAGGCTTGTGACTAGGGATGTTATTCATTCTAATGAGTTGAGTTGATCAATCCAGCATGAAAAATAAAAATCACAAACTCTCAAAGATGGTAAATATCTTAACTATCATGTATATCATCAAACTGCTTAGATGTGTTTCATTCTTGTTGTGTTGACTTCTCTTGTCTGTCTACTTCCTCCACTTATATTTCCCTATATTTTATTGAGGTCTTGCGACTCCTTGGCTTTTGTTTATACAATACTTAATTTTTGTTTTCTTGACATTATTGATTTTTATTAAACACCTCTCTTATGCAAGGCTTTTACAAAAAGTGTTGTTCTTTTGCTGAATGTAAAACCAATAGACAAGGTGGGATGGGTGGGGGGTGTGACCTGATGTCAGTTTTCATTGCTCCAACCAGCCCTGAGTTTCTGAAGTAATATTACAACTTGTAAATGGAGGGAAAAAAAAGTGAGGAAACAAGAGATAGTTTAGAATGTATGTCTTTTGATCTGCAAAGTAGCCATTTTTCTAAAACATTTGTCTGTAAATCCTGTAAATCATCATTTGGAGCTTTGTAATCTGCATTCGTGTGATAGATTGATTTATATCTGAAAGTTCATTAAGAACTTCCTGCATTATTTGTTAGTTTAAAAATAGGATAACTGAAGCTTCAGCACACAAGAAGGGTCATCTACTCTTTTTTAGATATGTCATACTGTACTTTTATTTTGGGGTGACACTGAAGGGGAAGTCTTTAAGGGAGTGTCAAGACCATAATTAGAACAGAGTGGCAATGAAGATTCCTCCTGCCATATTATAGACTGACATTGATGGCCCCTCCTTTTCCTTTTTTGATTACAGAATGGACCTAAATGTCCAATTACAAATCCATCAAATTGGGAATTTATTTTAAAAAAGGGGCCTAATTTCACATACTAATTTGCTCATCATGAGGGTTTAATTGCTGTCAGTCACAATTTGATGAGGCATGCTAAAAAGAAGCACTGGGATGATTTAGTTCCTAACTTCCTATAAAGCTACTTAAATATCCTCTTTACCTTAGTGAGTTTGCAAGCTTTGTAAACGTGCATGACATTTTCATAAGTCCATCAGGAGAAATAATCAGATGTGTCCAATAGTTAGGTTGAATGGCCTTTTAAAAGTGATCATACGAGTATCTGATTTGATGACCTCTTTAGTTTACAGAGTTGTAAAGACTATTACATGTACATACATAGCATCCAATAGCATGGTTTGATAGGGAAATTTGTTGATTTCATGCGTTTGACTTGAAATGTTTAGCCTGTGTGATTTGATTGAGTGGAAATTCAACTGGGAAGTATTGCCAGGCCTTGGATTGATGCTTGGAAATGAATATCTTCCTCTTCCTCTGCTTCTGCATGGAAGCAGATTTTGGAATGTGAAATTAAGGGTATTAAAGGTTTACTTTGAGAGTTGAGACAGCTGTTGATAATGATTATCCTAATAATCCATGACATGGCACGATGTAATGTTTAAAATGCACTTTGAAAAAGGTAAAAGTGACTGTAATTATGTATTCCCAGAATTCACACATTTTGAAATGTCTCTTCTCTTCTTTCTCTCATTATAATCTGTCTTTCACTTATATAGCTTCAAAGTTGAATAGTCATTGCAATGATTGCATATATGATAGAGATCCATTCTTTTACATTTCAGTTCTTGAATGTGTGTTATTAATTTCCTTGTTTTATGATAGTGTAAATTATGGAATTATCTGGTGGCATTGTTCTTAATCTCCACTGTAATGTGCTTTATCACTGTGAAAGACTCTAATGGACGTACTCGTCTGAACAAACCCCAGTCCTATGTATCAGTCCTTAATGATTCAGATAGCCAATATTAAAAGCACTCACCTTAGATTATAATATTCATCACAATGAGATAATCAATTATTTTGAAAAAGAAGCAAACTCTCTTATAAATTAGCATTTTGGATACAGGATATTTCCAATGTTTTTTATCAAAAGTAGTGTGAAATAAATTGTTAATTATACACCAACTTTTATGTTCGAAGAAGAAAAAAAGGATAAATAAATAAAAAGTAGAGCCTATTTGTAATCGTCAAAGATATGTATCATGCATTATTGAGTATCTGAAAGACTAAAACCCAAACAATCTTCTACACCTTTTTTTAAATACTTTTTTTTGTAGCATCGGTGGAGCTGTGAATAGCCTGTGTGTTACAAATTATATTTGTATAACAAGTTGCATGTTATACAAGTACCGGTAGTCAAAGATATGTATCATGCATTATTGAGTATCTGAAAGACTGAAACCTGGACATTCTTCTAAAAAAAAAAAAATCCCTTCTTTTTATTTTTGTATTGTAGCACACAGTGGAGCAGTGAATAGCCTGTCTTTCCATCCGAGTGGGAACTACCTGATCAGTGCTTCCAACGACTCTACACTCAAGATTCTTGATCTCCTGGAAGGTCGTCTCTTTTACACCCTTCACGGCCATCAGGTGAGCTTAAAGATGTTCCTTCAGAACAAGGATATATATGATCTGTATCTGACTCGATTGCATTCCCAGAAGGCCTGTCTTCACTAGCTCGAGATTGCCAAATATCCCGCTATTTAAACTATTTATCCCGATCGCAAATTATCCAGCTAATTTGTGTCTTCATCAGCCCGAAGTTGCAATTAGCTGGATATTTGGTCATGATAATCATCCCAAGATATCTTTGGGATAGTTTGCAAAATATCCCGCTATTTGTCCGGTGCGCCATCACCAGCCCGAAGACTTAATTGCACTATGCGCGAACGCTGAGCAAAATATCTCAAGCTAATTTCTCTAGGTCGAGTTTCAAGTTTTGAGGTCGAATCTCGAGCTGATGAAGATGTGATTTGTAACCTCAGGATTATTTCCCAAATCAGAAATAGCAAGCTATTAGGCAATCTCGAGCTGATGAGGACACGTCTAGAGTTTCAGACTTTTTTATCAGATAAAAAGCTCTAAGTTTCTCAAGCAAAGATTTTGAATACTAAATGCAACTACCGATGCTATTTGTACAGGTGTTGTGTGTACATGAATGTTTACATATATGTTACATTTCGAGATAACAAAGTAATTGGTTCTCTTTGATTATGGTTACAGTGCTGTGATTATGCTCTTTTGTATGTATGTGTACATGTAAACTAGTATCATTCTCAAGCATATTCTTTGTTTGAAATAAAAGAAGTCCTAAATTGGAATTCATAATGATCAAACTTTATCAGTCAGTCTCTTGTTAATCATAATTTAGTACTCAAACTAAAGGAGAAGAGAATTCTGATACTGTAATGTATGTACATTCATCCAGAAGCTTTGGATATTTTAATACAAACACATGGACATTATCATTGAGTCAATTAGGAAGAAACTGAATTATTTGTATTTTGACATTGTTTTGTAGAGTTTTCACTATACATTTTTTAATATTTAAATAATTTTAATAGGTTTAATAGATAAAACTTTTCTTCAGGTAATTTGGTAAAAATGTTGAATATTGTAGCATCTTCCCACCAGTTAACAGTAACACCTGAATGGAAAACATGTAAAATATTGTATGTACAGTAAATCTCCATTCTGGTGGTTTGTTCATCGTTTTTATGTTTTGCTTTTATTATTGTTTTTATTGTTATTAAGGGACCAGTAACAGCTGTAGGCTTTTCAAGAAATGGAGAGCACTTTGCATCCGGAGGAGGAGATGAACAGGTTGGTACTATTATTTGAGTTGACTGGAAATATTGGTGTAAATCACACATTGATATAATGGAAGGACAGAGAGAGAAAGGGTAACTGTTGGTGATTCTTTTTTGCATGTTTCTCATACAAATGTCGGCTAACATTTTGTCCAATTTTCCCACCAATGTGCCATGTACTATGAATGATCCTGCATTAATTGCCACATGCAATGCCCAAAGCACAAAATAAGCGGATTAACCTTGTCTCAGGTCCTTTAATTGGTCTATTTTGAAAGTAGCCCTATGTAGGAATGATGCCTGTCTCATTCATGGCATACCATATTGAGTTTGCCCATCCATTCATGTTCTATTGAAAGTGCTTTGTCAAGTAGGACAGTGAGGATTAAGATCTTAAGGAGTGACTGTGAGCCTTAATCTCTTTCCCTTTGACTGCAAGTAGATATGTGACATCTTTGTACATCTACATGTAATTATACTAGTCAAGTTTTTTCTTGTGATTAGATAAATTAAAAAAAAGTACACATTAGCTTGGTATGAATATGTGATTAAAATCAAGAACTCTAAAAGAGAGAGTATAAAGATCAATAGATGATAAAAGCTAATCTTGAGCCCTGGTATCGTATGTTGGGAGAACATGGCTATAAATCATTCTGGATTGTTTATCCTGTAGTAGATTGATAATTTGAACCATTATAATAAGGACAAACTCACAAAAACTTGCTGGAAATCATCTTCAATAAAAACCAAAACTCTCATTTGCCCATTGTGACCTGTGTTGGGCATATGGCCTAATTGCCTTGATTTCCTTATCTTTCTATGATCTCTACTCAGCCCCTATACCAGGCGCGTACGCAGGATTTTTTCAAGGGGGGGGGTTTTAACATTTATAAATCGGGCCAAAAATTTCGCAACGACTCAGCCGACCGCTGAATAAGCGGGGGGGGGGGGGGGTAAGGTCAGCCATGGGAATTTTTTTTTTTTTTAAATAAAAAAAAAAAAAAAAAAAAATCCAAAGGGGGGGGGGGGGGGTCTAGGGGGGTTATGGGGGAGTTAAAACACAGAAAATACCAAAGGGGGGGGGGGTAACCCCCCAAATCCCCCCCCCCCCGTATACGCGCCTGCCCTATACATTTTCTAGCAAAATCGTTTGGCGCATGTCATTTATTTGTTATATTGAACATTCATTGTAAGTTTTGTTGGATCCTGTGAGAATTTATTTTCTATAATTACCAGAACTAAAGCTTATCTTTAAGTTATTCCATGAAGACCAGCTCCTCGCAATGATGTAGCTGTAGTTGTAGTTGTGCACTGGTAGTTGTATAGGCAGGTGTACACAGGTTTATATACTTTTGAGCTTAGCCGGTGTGCTTTTTATGTTTATCAGAATATGAACAAACGATATCATTTCCATTTCAGGTTTTAGTATGGAAGACCAACTTTGACAAGATCGACTACAACGAGGTACTCCAGAGCCACCGAGCACGCTCCCAGACCCAGCCACCCCCACATATACACGATATCCATCCCAGGTCTCCTCACCACCAGCACCAGCACCATGGTGGTGGGGCAACCCGTCAGACTACCGGTAGTACCGACATTAATGCCCAGTCGGAGCTGAGAAACACTGTGACTGCCCCACCAGACGTCATGAACCTAGGCCCGGCACTCTTTTCACAGAATGGGGTGAGTTAATACTGGAGGTCCGGCCCCTCCACTCAGTGTTATTTAGGATACGCATATGCATGTTCCCTCCTTTTGAAAACACCCCCTAAGTCCGGTGTGTAAAGTCTTTTTTGTGTATGTACGAGCCGGACTTTGGTGCGTGAAAAGTACCCCTTTACCGGACATTTTGGTATTAACACGCATGGTATCCCTCCGTTCACGGAGTGGGGGGGGGGGCGGGACTAGAGGACACTCTAAGACAGATGCATGCATTTTCCTTTCCAGGATACTCCCGTCTTTATGGATGAGCTGCATTGCAGTATGTTGCATTTTACCTCTTTCATACGATTGCTTTTGGTATATATATACATGTATCATGCATTTTCCACAACTTAAACCCGAGCTATCTTAGACTTGGTATTCAACAGGTTAAGTGTTGTTCTTTGCTCTTTGTTTGTTGTTGGAACATGCCAGAGCTCTGTAGGATTCCATTTTGTATTTCTGTTTATCTTATGATTGTTATGACTGCAAAATGATTACTTGTGACTCGTATATTCAGTTCCCCAGTGAATGTCCATATTGGCATAATGGCCTTCATTTCATGTTTCGATCCAAGTGCTCTTGAAAACACATTCATCATGGTTTCTGAGTGTTATAACAGATCAGGAATTTCTTAAGTAATTGACTTAAAATCATGTAATTCTTCGCTCCAAGAACAGTTTCTTCCTTTTTTCTGGATGTATTTGGTAAGCAACTAGTTGAATTCATAGATTTTGATTAGGATTGGCAGATTTTGATATCCCTTTGAATGATATCTAGATCTTGACAAATCTTGTGCAGTATTCACATTAAACACCCTGTCCTGCTTTGCTATTCATCATCGCATATACAGGCGATCTCCTCCCTTTCCTTTCTCTCTTAGCAATGAATTACTGCCCTTTTTATGTGTTATTGTGTTTTATTATATTTAGTTTGATGATGAATGGCCTTGTGTAGTGCTTGAGCTGATTACTGCCAAATTTCCTGGCCTAAATTTCAGAATTCATCATCGTCATCTGTGCCGGCACCGAGCAATGGATAGTTTTCCCTCACTCCCTCTGGATTTTTAATTTTTGTCACTAATCCCCGAACTGAAGTCAATGCCCGAAACAGGCAGCGATTCCCAAAGTGATGAGATTATGTCCTTACCTCTGTATTCTCCTCCTGCCAAACTGGGATTATTGTATCCTGTAAGCCTAGCTCTCACAACTCCCTTCCTGTTTATGATACATTGCTTCTGCATGCTCATTTTTTTTAACCTTGCTTCTGTTTACATCTCCCCCCTCATGCTTGTGACTCAATGTGTCATGGCTCAGCTATCATATCTTCCCCCTCATCTCTCCCTTTCATCACCCTCCCCATTCTCTCTCTCTCTCTCTCTCTCTCTCTCTCTCTCTCTCTCTCATTGAACATCACATAAGATTTTCATTCTGAATCCGATTACATTTTATTAGTTCAAATCCTATGGATCATCACAGGTATTCTATTAAACTTAATAGCAACAACAACAAATAAAGGTACCGTATACATAATTAAATGAAATCCAGAGCAAGAGAGAGAGAGAGAGAGAGAGAGAGGTTGGGGGGGGGGGAGAGGGAGAGAAGGGAGGAAACAAGATTGAAGAAAGAAAAATATCCCCATGAAATTTGAGAGGACATGTACATAATTATCATACACCGGGTATTTTGAAAAAAAATGTCTTATTACATTCCAACTAATATCAATCAATAATAATAAAGTAGGCTGCACTGCAGCGCAGTTCTTCAACTCTTAAATAAGTATATTTTACATTTGTAGGGGTTTTGTGCTTTTTGTCTCGCCTGCGAGACATAGGCGCCGCTTTTCCGGTGACGGCGATGGCGGCGTCAACATCAAAAACTTAACCTATGATAGGGCTAGGAGGGTGATTTAAAATTTCTACACAGAATCGTGAAATTCATTATCTATGCTAATTTATGCCAATTTATTCGAAATCATAAAAAAGGCTTCTTCTCCTTCATTTCTCGACCGATTTTGATTTGGTTTGCTTTATATTGTACAATATTTGGTACAATAATATTCTACACAGAATTTTGAAATTGTTCTCCTTTAATTAATTATGGTAATTTATGCAAATTTATTCCAAAAATAACAAAAATTGCTTCTTTTCCCTCATTTCTTGACCGATTTTTATTTGGTTTGCCTTATCTGGTGGAGCTAAATTTGGAACACTAAACTTCTACACAGAATTGTGAGATTTTGCTCCATTGATTATTTACGGTACTTTATGCAAATGAAATGAAATTATGTCCCTTTCAGGGCATCAATTTTTTATTTTTTGACCAGTTCAAAAGTGTATCACATAAAATTTACGATATATTTTTTGTTGCTAGATGCGGATGAGCCCTACGTCATTGACGTTCTGGTTTATCATATTGAATTGCGTTATGCAGACGAGACCGCCGAGAGCGTTTCCCTTGTTTTCTTCAGTTGACTGTGGAAATATTAAAAACCAATCAACAAATTATGGAAATGTCAAAATAGAAAAACAAATAAAGTAAGTTTTGATTTCAGAACTGCTTTATTCAGGTTTATTTCTCTTGGGCTGCGACAGACACTGCGTCATTCACTTCTACCCAGTTTAATAGACAAGTAACATTCTTGATCGTGTCCCCGAGGCATCATACCTATCATGGAATGGTCAAATGACAGAACATCAGCTGTTTAGGAGTGAATGAAAGATGTTGAGAGCACCGATGTGAGTGGGTGGAATCCATGTGGGAAAACAGAAATGCAACCTTGACCCCATTAACTGCGTAGATTGGCAGGGGGGCAGATAGACATGTCGGTGAATGGTGGGTGCAGGAATGGGTCAGGACTTCATTCTTGGACTTGGTGACAACCTTGACAGATTCATGTGTCAGATGCCACACATACATGTTCCCATTGATCTGTGTATAAATCACTCAGGGACGGTGATGAGCGCCGTCATTCACATCCGTCACATATCCATATGATAGCAATAATTTTCCATTATTTTTGCAGATAATCAACCATTTTCATACTTAAGTTGCGCTTATTTTACAGCTTTCTTTGGTGATAGTGAAGAAAAATGAGAATTCACATCCTCATTGTTCATTGTTTTAACCTTCCCCCCCCCCCATCTTTTTCATATTTTTAAGCCTCTTTTCTCCAACTTCTTACCGAAAGACTGCTGTATTTTAATCAAATATTATTACTGACTTAAAACTTCAATTTTTGCTGTACATGTCCATGCCTTCTCATTTGTTTTTCCTCTTTTTATTTTCTTGTTTTGATATAAATCTGTTGATTATTAAGATCACAGACTTCTGGTTTCACATATTGTGTGCTGAGAGCCAGAAGGGCATAGTTAGAGCAAACTTGAAGGCCCTTCTGGCTCTCAGTAGATGATACTTAGCCAGAAAGCATGAGCTGCTCCCAATGTAGACAGGATATTAGTGATGTTTTTAAAGATCACCTTGGTTAGATATAAAGTGCTCCCCCCCCCCAAAAAAAGGACATTATGAGCTGTATGAAAATGGTTAATTGGTTTTTATCCAGTAGAAGTAATATGCCTCTAACTTTGATTACATCAGTCCATACACGCTTCATCGACCAGCATTGTTTTGAAAATGGCATGTCCAAATTCATTTTTGCAAGATTTGGGCAAAAGTGTGAAAATATCAGTATTACTTGCGAACATGACTAGACTTACGGGTAATGTAGGCTTTAATAGATGATTATGCAGGATTGCCACTAATGATAATCTGGAAAACATACAAATGAAATCTATCTCCTGAGGCTGAGATAGAGTTTGTTGCCTTATTCAACACTTCATGTTTGCTTGTTTTTGTTCTTTGTTTTTGGTATATAGCCTAGGGCTATTTATAATTTGGTTAGTGTGACAATACTCAGAAATACATGTTGATAGGACATGTCATGAAATCTACATAAGCAAGAAAATCATCATCAGTTCTTTCATTTTATGTTTCATAAGAACAAATCTCTCTATATTTGGACATACTGTACAAAAATAACTTGAAAAAGCTTTGATTAAATTTTTTTGTCATTAATACCCAGATTTCCTCTTTTTTTTTTCTTTTTTAATGATTTTTCTCTTTTTTAATGATTTTTCTCTTGGTGCAATATCCAACTGAATAAGGAGAAATATACGGTACATGTAATGTGTATTTTTACTATGATGACAAGTGGAAAAGAGAGTTTCCTGAAAGAAAAAAGCGTTTTTTATTATTTTATTCAACAAACATCCTACATACCAGTTGAGAGATTATTTTTACAGTGAAAAGAAAACATGACAAGAAAACCTACATCATGTACCAAAGGAATGAATTAAATTAGTGGCAATGTCCTTTCAGTGAAAGATGGTGAGATTCTAGCAAAGGTCGAGCATCTTTTCTTGACGGTTGTCGTGAAGAGAATTGGATAGGAACCATTAAAGCTCATCTGTACTAGTTGGCCAGAAGGGATTAAAGCACACAGCGAGGTCATTGATAGGTGGCTATCTCATCAACTCAGCTCTCAAATAACATAAGAAATAGAGGATCATGGGGGACCAACAGGCACCGATTGGGGAAGTTTTCTATATAGAGGGAGCAAGTAGCTACAAGTAGTACAGTGGGGCTTTAAAAGCCTTCCAACGACTAATGCAAATGCCCTTCTCTTATCTTCAGGGAGATAAATTATAAAGGCAAAGGACAAGTTGTTTTACCAACTACCGGTAGCTCATAAATTTATAACGATCGATGTCTCACATGACCCCTTGAATATTACAGATGTATTCTATGCTTGACAGAAAATTCTCCAATACCCTTTCACCCAAAACATGGGTAATGACCTCAAATTAGAATCTTCCAGAAGAAATTAGAACCTTCATTCAAGAAGTTATGGATCCACTTGGGCTTCCCTTTTCAAATGAAAAACTTGCCTCCTCATACATACCCATGAGACTGTGAGCTGTTGATGTTGTTGACAAGGATCTGAGTTATTCAAGCAGTACGTCAGAAGGATGTGTGATGCCATGCAGCCTTGACCGCCCGCCATCCTTTTACTGAAAATGATTGCTAACTGAAAGGACCCATTCACACTAGAATAGACTCATTCACACTAGAATAAATTTATACAGAATTTACACTTATAACTACGAAGAAACATTGTTTGGTGAATCTTTGTGTTTATTGTTGAAGTGGCGCAAACATGTGGGGCAATGTGTGCAGCGCTTTGCTAGTGCAAATAAAATGTGCTATATCAAATAAATTTTGGATTGGATCGAATGGAGCATACACAGGTGTTAAGAAGGTCATATAAAGAAACTGCAACTTGTTTGGGGAGGTCAGCTGACATAAGTTTAGTGTCAACCTATGTCTTGGGCATTGCTTGAAGGTACAAAATAAAGCCTAGTAAAGAAACAAAAATCTGTGCATTCAGTACTCAAGCCCAAGACCTACATGTATCAAGTTATCGTAAAGCTATGAATTTTGTATAGCTATTTGATAAACGTTGCTAGTCTGAATGAAGAAGCGGAAAGTTTACCCAAACTCTTGAGTACTTTTGACAAACTCTGATCTCTTCTCATATCTTGTCATGGAATCCAATTATTATGAAAGCCTACTTCCCGGTGGTCATTACGCTCGTCTCTAAAAGGCTGCAATTCATTAGAAAACTTCCTCTCAAAATCAAGGAAAGAGAGTTTGGAGAACTAATTGTTACCTTTGAATCACTGTCTTTTTCTCATCATGTGAGAGCAGGGCAGTGTTCTCTTGGATGTCGGTTAAGAGTTACGTAGGTTTTACAGCTCATGGGGGAATAAACTGGTTTGCTATTCTCGGACATACTTTTATGTGAAGCCGATCTTTCTTGGCCGGTTTCCAAAAGCTTTCCCCCAAAATGTTGTAAGGTTCTTGAATCTGACTCCTATCTAGGTTAAAATGGTCTGATGATCATACATGTATGTTAAAGATGTCTCTGGTTGTGTTTAAGTAGAAGCTACCCTATATGTATTTGATTAAATACTTTGAACAGGATATAGCTATAGGATATGGTGTATGTTTTGATAGGGCCCTAATCCATGTTTATATCCAGAATTACTTTTAAATATTTTTGTGCTGCATGTTCACATTTTCTTTTAGGCATTTTAATCCCGCTGTTTATATAATATGCATTGCCTAACCTGCCTGGCACATTGTATTGCCCAAACAATGTCCATAAGTTTAATTCTTTTCCTCTTTTCACAATGTCATAAGATTATTATGGTGTATTTCAAATTCAATATCTTGTTGTATGTATTTTATCAATTCATAAATGTATCTATTTCTCATCATGTTTGGAATGTGAGGGTATTTGGAGAGCAATCTTGTCCAGGGTACATTCCTACTATGATATTCTTCCATATATAACAAAAAAATGAGAAATCGCACAAGTTATTTTCCATCTTTTACCAGAACTCAACCTTAAAAGATAAACTTGAGTTCTGGTTTAAAAAAAAAAGAAAATGAATTCTCACAGAATCAAATGAAACTTACACTGAATGTTCAAGATTACAAATAAATGTCATTTGCCAAACAAGTTTGGTAGAAAATATATACTGGCTGAGCAAGACTGGGCCAAATTTATTATGATTTTGAGGACTCCAGAACCTTGCAGTGCACACCAATACTTATGATCAACTTTTTCTGATCTATTCCACACCTTTTCTTTCACAATGCAATCGCATGACCAGAACTCAACTTTATCTTTAATTATGTCTCCACCTCACAGGCGATGGGACAGTCCAGCAGTCGAGCCGCTCCGTCTGGACTCCATGAACTTAATATCACTTCCAGCGACCATGAGAGGCGAGGTATGGTGAATGGGATGGGGGCAACATCACACCTCTCCTCTCCTCCATCCACGGTACCCTTGGAGGTGAAGGAGATCCCTCCAGGGCTGGCCCAAACTCTGGAGAACATGGTGGGCCAATTGGATGTACTCACACAGGTAAGCATCAAGTATTCATCCGCAGCCACAGGGGTGGATCCAGGGTTCTGTAAAAGGGGGCACAACATTGAAGAAGAAGAAAAAAATATGTACCAAAGGAATGTCAGGTTGGGTTTGAAGGAAGAGGGGGCTAAAGGCCAGTTCATGCCCCCCCCCCCTGCCCCCTCCATTTCAATCCTCCCGTGGCAGTGTACATCTAGGATCCACATAGTGGAGGCATGATGGCTCAGTGGTAGAGCAGTGGTCTCATAGCCAGGAGGTCCAGTCTTAAAAACAAGTCGATATGCTTGTGCCTTTTGGTATTAAGGCATTAATCCTCATTACCAAGTCACTTGTAGAGGACTTAAAGCCCTCATTCTCCTGTTGTTAATTTACAAGCTTATACATTCTTTCCTAGCAGTCAGGTAAAACTGTCATCATCAATCAAATCTTGTAAAAATGGCAGAAAATTTCGAGGAATATTCGCTATGATCAGATAAAGAATATTGTGTGTTGATATATTCAGGTAGACATGTATTATCATAGCTTTTTTTAAATCATAGCTTCTTGTGATTGTGACAGTGTTCTTTGCTATGTAATATTTGTCCAGTCCCAGATTACTGATACCAAGCTTGCCAAAGGATGATGATAAGTGTGAATAAAAGCATTACCGTACAATAAACAATTGACAAACAATGGGACTGAGTTGGTCACACATGACAAACTGGAGTTAGAGGGTGCCATCTGAAATTCTCGAAAACAATTAAGATGATTTTGCTGGTTTATCTAATGATTTACACTCCCATATGTTACTCCAAAAATGTATGAACTCAAAGGATTTTGTTCCTCTCTTGGATTTTGTTTCTCTCATAATCTACCCATCTTTCACATCATTTGCAGACTGTAAACATTCTTGAACAGAGATTAACGATGACTGAAAACAAGCTACGTGAAGTCCTTGATAACCAGCAGAAGATCACGCTACAAGTCAGACCAACCTAATGAGATCTTCTTTCATAAAAGGATGCATTCTTATCACCAAGCTTGGGTTACAAGAGTGGTGAGAAGAGGACTGTAGGGTGTGGCAAGTGTCTCAAGGCTGACCTTTTTTCAGAGTTCCCCGCTCTCCTAGAAAAAGGGAAATCTAGAAAAAGAGTTCTCTGTTTTCATTGAGGGAAGATTCCAATAATTTGAAGGAAAAAACTCTCCAAAAAAAGGACAAAATCAGGGAATTTCAATGGCCCCCAAAGAAGTTGGTCAGCCTAGTATACATTGTCTTGTGTACCAACTGTCTATCTATCAAATGACCGGCTACGGTGGAATTTTAGTTTTTAATGTGGCTACCATAATGATCCTGAAATTGAATCTCCATCAAAGAAAAATCATGATAGTTTGTATTCATGAAATGCTGGGGACTTCTGATCGTGTTAAACATAGAGCACCTATTAGACATGTGAGCCACATAACTCTGTTCACCTGAAAAGAAAATCAACATCTATATTCCTGTGGAAAAGAAAAGCCATCTCTTTGTGAATTTACCCTGTGTTGGAAGGTCACTTTCAAAGTGCTCTTGATAATGCAAATTCCAGAAGAAGAAGAAAAAGGTATAATATAGTTGGTCACCTTGTTGAAGTTACAACCTGTCAGGAAAACATTCTCATTCATGAGATAGACATAGATCATCAAAACAGGATTTCTGATATACATTTGGAGAGACAAGGATTCTAAATTATCTTTTATGTATTCATCTATAGAGTGGTGAAGTGTGACGTCATCAAAAATCTATTTTTAGAATTTCTAGATTTTTTTTTTCTTCATTTTCCAAAAGAGCATAAAAAATAATGTCCAAATGCCGAAAACCAATTGAAAATGTTAAGTATTAGCTGAGTTATGACCATTAGGAACCAGAGCACTATAACACTGAGTTCCCATAGGACATATATTTATTCAGATGGTCATATCTCAGCCAATACTCAACATTTTTAATTGGTTTTCGACATTCAGACATTTTTTTTTTATGCTCTTTCGGAAAATGAAGAAAACATTGAGAAATTCTAAAAAAAAATAGATTTTTATTATGTCACAGCTTCGGTACTCTATTGCAATTGACTCGAAGGTTGCCCGTCTACAGAGTAGCCTACCTGAATATATCAAATATGATAATGCAAAGGGTTTCTTGCTTTCTGAATATTCAATTTTGTTCACTTTTGATGACCAAATTGTATAGGTGAATAAATGCATGATAAATTAAATAATATTGCCAAGACCTCCCTGACCGTTGCTGTGTTGACTTGAGCTCATATCATCATTTCACTTGTTTTGAAGAGAGATCATGCATTCTTCATCCAATTCTCAATAATGATGTAAATCTAAAATAAAATCAGCGTGGATACAGCTCCATTCCAGCATTAAAGTGACTCAGTAACATTGCCTCAGATTCTGAAACAAAATCCTGGATTTAGCTCATGCTGCAATCATAATTATCAACCTTTAGGTCAGTCAGGAATCCCATGACTTTTTCAAGCCGATCGCCTGTCGGATTATCAAGATATTCATGATTGGAAATGTAAATTTCGCTTCTCATTTTCCTAACGGTTTTTATAACACTACACTCTATTGGGGGAAATGAGTATGGTAAAACCGGTCACTCAAAGATTTTTTACTTTTTTTGAGGCACTTCATGATCATTTTGAAGCGCACTTTTTTTGTTAGGGGCTTCAATATTACACCATATCACAGACCCTGATAACATGTAGGGCCATGCATCTCACATTTAACATTGTTAAACGATGCCTTTAAGCTTTAAAAATAAATTACATTTCTGAAAAGAAAATGTTCATTCAAGCACCAACAAGGAAAATAAGATGTGTTCTTGTCATACATGTGATTTCCACTAACAGATTTTGTATCGAATTCCCCCTCCATCTTTATACTCAATCCTTTTATGTTATTGGTCAGCATCAGAAAATAAACTCCAGAAACAACTCACATTTTGATACAAACTTAATTCAGGAACTTTCATATTTTGTTCTTGTATAAATTGTTGTTTTGATTAAAACAGTGAAATTTGTGAAGTCATGAAGTTGCATTATGTTAACTAGTGTATGCTTATAAAATAAGGATTTTGTAGAGGGAATACGACGTATAATTCTTCTTTTGCAATCATTTTGTTTAGTATTTGAATCTATGATATCAATCAAGATGGCTCCTGATACATTTATTCCTCATTCAGTCGTTAATAATATATATCTTGTGGTGTCTTTTAGGTATGACCAATGTTTGTAAAGAGGATTTACCTTAATAATAAAGGTTTTCTGTGTGTTGAATATATTTATATATTAAAAAATGTTTTCCTCTTGTAGATATGTATGAAATTGTAAATTCTGATACATAATTTTATGTAAATACATGTACATACATGTATATATAGTGTACAGTCAGATTGAATTTTCTTGTACTAGTCACATGTAAAAAGATTGTAAAAGTTGTTTGCATTATGTTGAATGTGACAAAACATTTCAATAAAACAATTTGTAATTATTAAAAAGATGATTGTCACAACATAATTTTGTTATGTTTATTAAAGACTTACCCAATATATAGGTATGGACACTACATTTCAAGAGAATCAGGCTTAAACCACATTTAAAGGTAAAATCCTCCCTCAGATAATTATTTATAAAAGCAGAATAATGAGAGAAACAAATAATTAGTGAACGTTTGAGCAATATTCTACTAAAAATAGGAAAGTTATGAGTTTTTTAAGTTGTCAATCAGCAAAACACAAATTGGCAGCCCCCTTTTTTTTTTAGTACAGAGAGGAGCACTATTTGTTTTTATTTATTTTTTTGTGGGGGGGGGGCAATTCGTGAGAAAAAAACCTTTTATACTTTTGGGGGGGGGGGGGGCCGGGGGGCATCTTCATTTTTTTCTTAAAGGGTAAAAACTCACATTACCATCTTTTTTTAACCTCTTTTTTGCCAACCCCCGTGGATACGCGCCTGGGCGCACGTAGTGCAGTCTCTTACTTTATGAAGGGCTAGTAATTCTTTAACTAGGAAGGAAAGTTCCACCCCTCCCAAATCGGGCTCCGCTTAAATCCTTCCCTTTCATTCCTCTAAAGAGAAATAGAGGTATGTTTACACTGCCCCAAACACATATTTACACTTCCGGTTCCAAAGTTCCGCATTTTGTCTTCATCAAATGAAATGACATTTAAAGATTTTTTTCTCTCTCTCAATGAATAATTGTTCTACCTGTCTTTCCGGATTGTCTATATTTACACTGCAAATATCAGTATCTGATTAGCAGAAATAAAATATCCGAATAGCCCTAAAATGTTCGACAACATTGAAACGGGATTTCCTTTGAGACGAACATGAAACGAATGAACCTTAAATGTCAACTCTCATCCGCCTCCATGCTTCCTTTTCCAGAAGACCTTGTTTCTATAAATGAACCTGTCAAATATCCGTTTCTGAAAATGATGAGGGGAAACTCGGTTAGGAAGAATAGAGTCCTCGCCGCTCTTCTCCTTCAGCTTCGCTTTCGATTCTAAGTGACACGGTTTCATTTTCACGAAGACGGAAAGATTCAAATGAATAGATGGATAGCTGTATCGACAGTGACAGGTAGCCTACTATTCATCATTTTCCGCCTTTCGTGTAATATGGATCAATTTTTAAGAATGCATTTGTTAATTTCCCCTCGTGTTTGACCGAAAGTGAAGAAATAGAAGGCTCGCGGTTTTCATATGCCGGATGTAGGGCACGTGTAGTGTTGTATACCAACCTTATTATACTGTTTACGATGTCTTTTCTTTGAAGGGGGTTATATGCCTAGCTATTTCTTCTTCTTCTTTTCTTTTTGCCCCAATTTCCCTCAATAATTTGTTATGATACTATTAAAACCTAAAGCAGTTAAGATTACATTTAATATACTGTTACACTTACTTAGTGTGACGCATAGTCGGTCCGAAAAAAATCACAATACCATGGAAACCAACATCATTTGAAAAATCTCATCGGAGACAATATTTTCATAATCGACAATTTTTTTTTCGTGCATTGGAAGAATTTTCCTACCACATAATTCGCTATTCATTTTTTATTTTTATTTTTTATTACAAAAATATTAAAAGAGTGTTAAAAGGGTTATTCATTCTTTCACTTTCACATAAAGTATAACATGTGATTGGGAAGGGGAAGCTTTTTATTTTCTGGTATATTTCATATCGCACTTCTATAAATACACATAAAACAAATTGGATATTTATCGTATTTGTTGTTGCTTGTCGAACACTGTTGCTCAGTCGTTTGAATCCAATGGATGATGATGTCATGTTTACCACCCTACTTATTTATTTACTTATCTATTTCTATATTATCTTTATTATCATTATTATTATTACAAGTAGTTCCTCCATTTTCATTTATCTTGCATGTAATTTGTTATCGTGTTCTTGGTATTACGTACGCATGCTGTCTGTATATAAGGACGATATTTGCTTGCCAAAATGATGAAGCTAAATAGTCGATAGTTTTTTAATACAGGTAGAATATTATTGTGAGCAAGTATATCGGTTGAAGACACATGTAAATGTACACATTCTTCTTATTCTTCAAATTTCATTTCATCTTCGTCTTCTATCGCTTTATTCGTCCTCTTCTATCTGTTTTCGTCTTCTTCTTCTTCTTCTTTCTTCTTCTTCTTCTTCTTCTTCTTCTTCTTCTTCTTCTTCTTCTTCTTCTTCTTCTCTAATGAAAGTAATGATATCATTACCGCTATCATGTTAAGCTGTCATTATTATATCACCACCACTATCCGCTCATTAAGCCGCCACACGGTGTTTATTTCTCCATCTATATCAACCCACGCAATATAGTCACGTCTTTCTCCCGTTACCGTTTTCTCTACCGAACACGTTCATAATAATTATAATGAGCATAATATTCTTCTGAAAGACATGACAAACATTAATAGATAATTACTCATCGACATTGACATATACGAAACCGGAAGGAAATAGATATAAAGACAAACTAATTAAAAGTTTTAAAAATGGATGGCATTTCTATATAATTATATTATATGCTACATGCAAGTCATTGGGGAGGATTATCATGCGAGAGAGCTAAGCGATCGACCAAGTTCGGGAAGGTTGAAGGAAATCTTCCACACAGGAATGCCAAATGTTATTCCTTATGTTTTCCTTTTCAATTTCCCATTTATTTTTCTTCCTCTCATTAAGTAATTCTATGAAAAGGGAGGGCAAGTGCCCTGACCCCGGCCCTTCGCTTTACTGTCTTGAATGTCATAAAATTATTTGTTTCTCCGGTGACATTTATGGAAAAGATGTTTATTAATGGAATGTTACATCTAGCTGATCAGTCTCACCTTCTTTGAAATAATTTCTTTTCACGAATTAGCCAAAATTTGGTTAGTGGCTTTCCCGCTGATTGCCATTTTTGAATTAAACGTCATTATTGATTTTGTTTATAAACAATTATTATTATTTTGGCTACGT